TGTTGGTGCTGACAGTGGTGAGTGCGTGGGAAAGGAGGAGCATATGAGTCTGGAGAATTGGGCGAGGGTTCATTGGGTAGGGCAGCGCTGGTGCTGACAGTGGTGAGTGCGTGGGAAGGGGGGAGCATATGAGTCTGGAGAATTGGGAGAGGGTTCCACTGGGTAGGGCAGTGCTGGTGCTGACAGTGGTGAGTGCGTGGGAAGGGGGGAGCATATGAGTCTGGAGAATTGGGAGAGGGTTCCACTGGGTAGGGCAGTGTTGGTGCTGACAGTGGTGAGTGCGTGGGAAAGGAGGAGCATATGAGTCTGGAGAATTGGGCGAGGGTTCATTGGGTAGGGCAGCGCTGGTGCTGACAGTGGTGAGTGCGTGGGAAGGGGGGAGCATATGAGTCTGGAGAATTGGGAGAGGGTTCCACTGGGTAGGGCAGTGCTGGTGCTGACAGTGGTGAGTGCGTGGGAAAGGGGGAGCATATGAGTCTGGAGAATTGGGCGAGGGTTCCACTGGGTAGGGCAGCGCTGGTGCTGACAGTGGTGAGTGCGTGGGAAAGGGGGAGCATATGAGTCTGGAGAATTGGGCGAGGGTTCATTGGGTAGGGCAGCGCTGGTGCTGACAGTGGTGAGTGCGTGGGAAAGAGGGAGCATATGAGTCTGGAGAGTTGGGAGAGGGTTCATTGGGTAGGGCAGTGCTGGTGCGGGCAGCGACGATGGCGAGGCGAGAGGCGAGCAGCCGTCTCACTGTGTGGCAGTCGCTGGTGCTCACTGTGGTGAGTGTGTGGGGGAAAGGGAAGGGGGCAATAGGGTGTTGAGTAGGGTTCACAGTGGTACTGAGGTATCTTTGTGCAGAGAGGCGAGCAGCCGGCTTACGATGTGGCAGTCGCTGGTGCTGACAGTGGTGCGTTGGGGTTCGAAATTGTTACGAGAGTTGCTTGGGAAGGGGAGTAATGGGCGAAAAGCAATAACCTTCCTACCCAATGCTCTAGCTCCCCCTCTCATCCGCCCCTCCCTCCAGACTTCCACCTTTCCCTCTCTCTTTCTTTACCTTCAATCTCAACCCTCCCCTTTTTTCCTGCCCAAACCACCCCAGCCACAAGGCAGCAACGCCTTGGGCAGCAACTGCTTGACCGTAACAAAGCATTAAAAACACACACACACACACACACACACACACACACACACACACACACACACACACACACACACACACATTCCGTGTCTTACCCGAACCCACCCATGTTCAACCCCACAGCAATGCTTTTTCCAGCAACTGTTCAACCCCATCACCCAATCCAACCCACTTCCCACTTCCCACCACAGCAATGCTTTTTCCAGCAACTTCTCAACCCCATCACCCAGTCCGACTACTACACTCTCCGACTTGCATACATTCATGTAAGCAGTGTGTGTGGGTGTGTGTGGGTGTGTGTGGGTGTGTGTGGGTATGTGTGGGTGTGTGTAAACTATACAGAGTTCGTGAGAGAGAAAGAGAGAGTGTGTGTGTGTGTCTGTATTTGTGCCAGATTATACGCAGTTAAGTAAAGTGCATCTTGTTTTCCTGTGTGATCCGCTATCAAGCACTGAAGCTCTTCCTTGTTCCTCCCTTGATCACTGTCTTCCTCCCTCCCTCAACGCACTGAGGGAGAGGAATTCTGACTCGCTCGCTGACTCCCTCCCTTCCCTCTCCTCCCCATTCCTGAGTCGACCAAAAAACTGTCTTTCTCCCTAACTAACTCGTGACTCGCTCGCCGATCCCCTCCCTTCCACTCTCCTCCCCATCTTTCAGAATCAGAACCTTCCTCGCAACTTCGACTTCTACAACCACGTGGTTAGCTCTTTGGAGAAGGACTTTGTGTACATCGTCGGCCTCAGGTGAGTTCTCAGGTGTTTTCAACAGACGCATGTTTAATGGCATGGAGAAGAACTTTGTGTACATCGTCGGCCTCAGGTGAATGCTCAGGTGTTTTCAACAAATTCGTGATTAATGACATGGAGAAGGACGATGTGTACATTGTCAGCCTCAGGTGAATGCTCAGGTGTTCTCGACAGATGCATGGTCGATAGCCTGAAGATGGGCTTTTGCTCAGACAAGGTGAATTCTCAGGTGAACTTTCACAGCATGCAAAATGACATCGTTCTCCTACTCAGGTGGTTCCAACAGAGTACTTTTTTTCCTTTCTGTTTTTACCTCACCCATTCCCCCTTCCCCCCATTCCTCCATCTCTCCTCCCAACTCCTTCCCACCCCCCCACAACCCCTTCCCTCTGCCTACCCAGCTTGCCTCTCTGGATTACTCTCATTATTGTCATATGCGTCACAAGCTACAGTAAGTCACTCCCTTCCTACTGTATTTACAAGGCAGAGTGAATACACCTGAAACGTTCCCTTAGTCACTGCTTAATCATCCCCAAACTTGTGCTCCCCATTTTAACACTTTTCAAAAATGCTTTTCCTTGACTTTCTCTCCATAGCATTCAGTCGTCTTGTTGTGTTACGACAAACATTGATAGCAACACAACATTGCCAACCAATCTGTAATCGATCCCATCCAGCCTGTCATTCTCCGCTGCCAGCCTGTCAATCTCCCCTGCCAGCCTGTCAATCTCCCCTGCCAGCCTGTCAATCTCCCCTGCCAGCCTGTCAATCTCCCCTGCCAGCCTGTCAATCTCCCCTGCCAGCCTGTCATTCTCCTCTGCACACCCCATCGCTCCACATTGTTCCTTCCTTCCCAACCGCCACTGCTGCAGTGTAAAGAAACAAAAGAGTGAATTAACGAACGATGAACAATATCCTCACTGTTTTGTCGACCCTGTTTTCCTGCTTCTGTTTTCTTTCCATTGTCTCACTGTTTTGTCAACCCTTCTTGCCCCTCATCACTCTGACCTTGTCCCTCTACCGCAGAGTGGGACATCTCGTTCATCTTTTCAGTTCTCGGCCTTCTGGTGAGCACATCCTCGTTATTAGCACGTCCTTGTAACGCATGCTCATTCAAGCATTATTCTTTCTAGCAAGCTCGCTGTATGGACAGATTTCTAGCAAATGCATATATCCATGACCCGCACATGTCCATTACTAGCATACAATTCATACTATGTAGCATTTGTGCACGCATGTGCATGTGGCTGTGTAACATAACATATGAATACATGCTTTGAACGTATTTGTCATAAACCTACACATTTTTGCATATATGCATTTGTTAACTGTACATACAGATCGCCCTGGCAGTGGGTACGAAGCTCGAGTACATCGTATCGGTGCTGGCTCTAGAGAGTGCGCATGTGCGCGGAGACTGCGAGGGTGACCACTTAAAGCCCCGAGGCTCGCTCTTCTGGTTCAAGCGGCCCTCCTTCATGCTAGGCCTGCTGCACTTCGCTCTCTTCGTTGTAAGCAACTCAGTAGTCAACTCGGGGAGAGCCATCTTACTGCACTTTGCTCTCTTTGTTGTAAACAACTCCCGGTGACTCTCTGAGTTGTTACTGAGTTAATGAATTTCAGCGACTCTCTTTTGTAAGTAATTGGGTTAGGAATACGCGGCATGGTTTTGCTGCTGCTTGTAGTGCTGTCTGATGTAGAAATAACTCCTCTGTTTCCTCCTCTCTTCCCTCCCCCCGAACCTCTTCTTTTACTTGCCCGTGCAGAGCTCCTACATGATTGGCAACCTCGTCGTGTACTATGTAAGTAACACCCCATCCCAACAACCTTTTTTATGTGAAAGGAACCAGCCACATTCACTCTGCTTCACATCACGGTGCCTCACACGCAGAGCTCCTACATGATTGGGAACCTCTGTAAGTAACACGCAACAACACAATATAGAAACTCATTTTTTTTTTTTCCTATCTCTCTCTGTTCCTTTTCTTAAAGAACCTCGTCGTGTACTATGTAAGTAACACGCAACAACACAATGTAGAAAGAAGTGTAATGCACAATCACTCTCAATCTTCAACCTCAATCCCTTACCCCACAACTGCTGTTCTCACTTCCCTTCCCTTCCCTTCCTTTCCTTTCCCTTCCTTCCCTTCCCTGTCTTGCATTCCCTGCCTTTCCCTTACCCTGCCCTGTCCTCACCCTGCCCACACCAGTATCTGGCGATGAACCAGGCGCACTGCAAGACCTACTCAGCCTGGCTACCATGGCTCAAGTTCAATATTGAAATGCCTCTGACTTCAGAAGCCCCTTACCCCTCAACTGCTGTTCCCACTCCTCTTCCCTGCCCACACCAGTATCTGGCGATGAACCAGGCGCACTGCAAGACTTACTCCGCCTGGCTGCCATGGCTCAAGTTCATATTCGGCATCGCCGCGATACTCATCTGCAGCCTCAGCACGCTGCCGCTCTACGCCCTTCTTACTCACGTGAGTTACCATGTTATGAGTCATATAAGAAGTGAGTTATCATGTTGTGAGAAATCTGAGAAGATCGCTCAAGTTCATATTTGGCATCGCCACTATTCTCATCTGCAGCCTCAGCACTCTGCCGCTCTACGCCCTTCTTACTCGCGTGAGTTCGACCTTAGTGTACCCTTGGTGTGGACATGTGTGGAATCGGGGTCGTGTTTACACTGCACTCATCCGTGCTCGTCACGCACGTGAGTAGGAAGCTTCAAGACGTGCATACTTGAACGAGTCTGACATTGGGATTGCACAGCCCAGCACACTGCCGGTCTACACGCTCCTTTTTTACATAAGCACGCTCCCAAATCGTGGAGTAGGTTTTCCATGCCATTACATAAGCACGCTCCCAAATCGTGGAGTAGGTTTTCCATGCCATTGATACCGATACCTCCGCATGCCACATCCATTCATGCACATACTCACTCACTTGCTTGAAGCACAGATGAAGCTAAGGCCAGCGCTCCACCCGCATTCTCCACCTTTTTGTGTTGTGCAGATGGGAGGCAAACCCAGCCAGTCCTACCTCTTGAACTGAGGCGTCTGTGTATACTCTTTCCCATCATCTGACACGCATACCCACGCGCATTCTCCACCCTTTGTGTTGTGCAGATGGGAGGCAAACCCAGCCAATCCTCCTGGGGTGATGGTAGCGTGCACAAGAAACTAGCAGCTGCATTCACGGAACAGGTGCAAAAAATAAAGGAGCACAGGTCCAAGCAGGACATACAAGCATAAAGGCTGCTAATGACTGCATATTTACAAGATAGGCGCGGAAAGGCGTCTTCTGCAGAATAAACAGCCCCTGCCTGCTGACTTCTACAGAAAGATTTTGTCCCACTATTTTCCCGAGCTGAGAGTATTTGGGAGGGGCAGAGGAGGGGTGGGGGAGAGGGAGGGGGGAAAGGGTGTGTGGTGGGTGGGAAGGATGTGGGGGGTGAGGGGGGGAGGGAGAGGAAAGGAGAGGGGGGGGGGGAGGGGGGTGGTGAGCAGAGGGATGTTATTGAATAAATAGATGCTGTGCTGGCCAGTAGTTGACAATGGTTTATTGTGTTGTATTGTATGGTTTCTTGTGTCACTGTAGTTTTTGGCGTTCGTCAAGTCTCTGTAAACCTGTGGCACTCTTGTGCACAATAATGTTTTTGCAGAAGTATACACCATCCATGAGCTACCGGTACCATAACTAGGTTGCAGTGTTAGGTACCGCCATGTGTCATCCTAGTGCTATCTTGGACAAACAACCTTTGCAAATCAGGGCTTCTTTTGTGGCAAGCTAGGCGAAGGTGATTCCTTCACGGTATCATGCCATTTAGTGACAATTTTTACCGTATTCAACAACTGTTTTTATTGGTGGGTGGGAGGGAGAAGCTGTCTGTCTGACTTCAAAATCACCACCAGCAAAGCAAACTCCTGGCTCGGTAATCCTTCTGATGTCACGCAAGCCAGCCTCTGTGATACACAAACCACTAAATGCCAGGTGGATATTCACTTCACCCCACCCATCAAGCTGCCAACAGCTTCTCTAATGCTTGTACCGTAGGCCTTCCTAAGGCAATTTCTGATAAACAAGCCATTAATCTTGGTGCAGAATAATGGTATCTTCACTACACTTCCAGCAGCTTCCCATGCCTGGCAATCCTTCTAATGTCATCCAGCGACAATCTCTGCTGAATAAGCTCCTCGTGAAACTCTTATTGAGCGGTCTCAAAGTTCACTTCACTTGAAGGAGCTTCCCATGCCTGGCAATCCTTCTAATGTCATCCAGCGACATTTTCTGCTGAATAAGCTCCTCGTGAAACTCTTTAAACGCGTCGCAAAACGCCACCGCATCTCCCGGCGGTAAGTGCGCCGCCACTCGCTCGTGCAGGACCTCCCAGAACGATCTAGAAGGAGGAGCCGTTCCCTCAAACCCTAGCTTCGCTTCATCAGTCTCATGTTGCTGCTCGGAAGCTTTCTCTGCGACTGAACCGACCCCCTTGGGATTACCGCGATGAGATTGAGATGCTTGGGATGAAGAAGCAGCAGCAGCGGTCGCCGGAAGTTCGTTTTCGTTGTAATCGCGCGAGCGGACTACGGGGTAAAGCGCCAGGGCTTTAAGGAAATCGGATTCATCCATGTGAGACAACTACGCGGGAGAGCGGATGCGCCAGAACGGCAGCGCGCAAATGGCGGGAGCAAGGCCCGAATTATGTTCTACACGATTCAAATTAGTAGCAGGAAGAGGCACCAATCGGGGCAACCAGACACACGGAAGGGTTGCGCGCAAAACCCGAGAAAGGTTTGATAAATTGCCACCGACGACTAGTGGGGAATTCATGCGAGGTAGGTTTGATGTGATACCACGTGATCCCCAAACTCGAGGGTAACTAGTGTACTACACCACATGTACTCTATGTCTATACACTGCTGATACCTAACAAGGGAAGAGTGTGAGGGAGAGGCTCAATAATTTTGTGTATGCGTTTGGAATGCTAACACAATAATTTTCTTAATTATGTATCTCTGTAGCAACATGCAGACAATATACAGCGCATTACACTATGCCATCCCGTAGCTGCCACTGGAAATCACCATCTAACCACTGTTAGAATCTAGCAGCAGGAATGATGAACTAGCAGCATGCAGGAGTACAAGTAGTAAACCCTAATTGGGTTGTACCCCATATGGGCTACCCCACTACAGCCTAGACAATATGCAGCATATATGTTTGACACACCCCCATAGGCAAAGTGGGGGAGAACAAGGGGTCACACGACCAGTCAAGAGACGCAAAGCAAGCTCAGGGTGGATCACAACGTCACCACACATTCTGAGCACAAGCAAAGGGCCACAAGGCCAGTTCACATGCAGAGATATATATGCAGCAATAGCACTACAGTGATGACTACCTAGCAAGAGCAGGCATGCATGTATATATATAGATCACAGTACAAGCAGAGACTACAGCAAGTGTGGAAACGTAGGCACAAGACCTAACAGGGTACAAAAGCGCTGATGATCACCAGACGGAAGTGCCTTGGTGAATATATCAGCAGTGTTGGCCCGAGTGGCCACGTGACGAAGACGAAGCTGACCTCGCTGCTGCAACTCTCGAGCCAGGAAGTAACGCAGAGCAATGTGCTTCGTTCTGTGCTCCAGTCTGTGCTCCTCACACAAGGCAATGGCCGCCTTGTTGTCAACGTACAGAACTGGAGGAGAACGAGGCCGCTCACCCAAGTCAGTCAGCAGGTAGGTGAGCCAGCGTAGCTCCTGTGCAGCCATGGCGGTGGCGTAGATCTCAGCCTCACAACTGGAGCTGAGAACAGAAGACGAGCGTGTAGACCGCCAAGAAACAGAGCCAGAGCCAAGGCTGAATGTGTAACCCTGTGACGACCGCTGTGTAGTCTGGTCGTCAACCCAAGACGCGTCTGAGTGCCCAGTGAGAACAACTGGGCTCGTCCCTCCAAGCACTAGCCCCATGCCTGATGTGCTGCACAAGTAGCGCAGTACCCTCTTAGCAGCAGCCATGTGCTCAGGTCGGTGCCGACCAGGAGCCACGTAGCGAGCCAGAAGACCAAGAGGGTACGCAAGGTCAGGTCGAGTGCAAGTCATCAGGTACATGAGGCAGCCAACTAGCTCTGGGTAAGGACCACTCGGCTCTACGGACTCGTCCGAAGGTGGAGCTGAGAGCGAGTGACCTGTAGCCAGAGGAGTGGCCTGTGCTGAAGACCAGGTGAAGCCGAAGCGCTGAAGGACCTGCTGCACCATGTGTGACTGAGTCAGGGTGATGGTGCGGCGTGCTCTGTCCCGGGTGATCTGCAAGCCAAGGTAGCTGCGCAGCTCACCCAAGTCTGTGCACGTGTGTCTCTTCTGCAGCTCCGACTTCACGTAGGCGAGAGCCTCAGTGTCAGCAGTGGCAAAAACCAAGTCGTCGACGTACACGAGGATGTAGAACGGCGGCAGTGAAGTGTCAGTGCGCAGAAACAGCGACGGGTCAGCAGTAGAAGGCGCGAACCCAAGGGCCGCAAGTGTTGTCCTCAGTGTGTCGTGCCACTCACGTGGCGCCTGGCGGAGACCATAGACCGGCCGCCGGAGGCTCCACTGGGTACCAGGAGGGAACGACCCAGTGAAGCCCGGGGGGTGGCGCAGCCAGATCTCCTCGTGCAGGCTGCCCTGCAAGAAAGCTGTGCTGAAGTCAAGAGAGTGAAGCTCGTAGTCACGGTGAGCGGCAACGTGCAGCAGCACCCGAAAAGTGGTCATCTTCGGGGTGGGGGAGAAGGTCTGGAAGAAGTCTACTCCCTCTCGCTGACTGAAGCCTCGAGCAACGTAACGAGCCTTGAAGACAGGCGGAGAACCTGGCGGCCGCTTCACCCTGAAAATTCACATGCCACTGACGATGTTCGCCCCAGGAGGGGGAACCTCGTCGACGTAAGTGCCAGTGGACTTCCAGGATGCCATCTCTGCGTCCATGGCTGTCTGCCACTGAGAGGAGTACTCACCCGCGATCGCCTCAGCGTAAGAGCGCGGGGTCGGGATGTCTGGTGCATCCGGGTCTCCCTCAGGTGCAATCAGCATGGACACGAGATGAGGTACAGCAGCCGCAAAGCACTCGAACTCCTCCTGCCTGTCCTCAAGGACGTCCGTGCCAAGAGCACACTCACCCCCGACGGACGGAGGACAGACAGACTCAGACTCAGCAACAAGACTAGCGGCGTAGTCTAGACGACAGGCAGCAGCAAAGGCAACAAGCTCAGCAACCAAGGCAGACGCAGCAGTAGACTCAAACGACGGGTCAGTGCCAACTGTGGCTAGCAGACACGTGACAGTAGGGTGCTCAGCACGAAACCGGTCAGACTCAGGGTCCGGAACGTCAGGCAGAGAGGACGCAGGAGGAGACGGCAGAGGAACAGGTCGCGGAGCAGAGGAAGGACGACGGACTACGAGGTGTGCTCTGGGGACAGCCGGCTGACGCGGACGAGGAACACGACGACCGGTACGACCAGGACGAACAGGCGAGACAGGACGCGACGCAGGCTCACGACGCTCAGCAGGACTACCTGTCTGCTCAGTGTAAGGAGAAGGAGCAGGCAGCGGTGAGCCGGGCTGTAACGGAAGACCAGTAGACGACGGGAGAGTAAGAACCTGACGAAGAAGAGAGTCAGGCGGCGGCAGAGACGACGGAGACGGCGGAGCGAAGAACAGTCGTGTCGGCGCAGCTGCACCAGTACCGGCAGCTCCAGCAGCTCCAGTACCTCCAGCAGCTCCAGAAGCTCCAGTCCCAGAACCGACACCTCCAGGCCCAGGGTCTCCAACCTCAGTGTCTCCAGCAGCAGCACCCCCAGAACCAGCACCTCCAGTCCCAGGGTCTCCAGCCTCAGTGTCTCCAGCAGCAGCACCCCCAGAACCAGCACCTCCAGTCCCAGGGTCTCCAGCCTCAGTGTCTCTAGCAGCAGCACCTCCAGACGCAGCACCCCCAGCCCCAGCAGCTCCAGTACCTCCAGTACGAGCACCTCCGGGACCAGCAACTCCAGCACCTCCAGTAGACAAAGTACCAGCACCACTCCTAGCTCCAGGGACGTCAGCAGAAGTACCTCCAGCAGCAGAGCCCCGGGCTCCAGCAGCGCGACCCTGACGGTGACCGTACCAGTCGTGCAGCTGCTGCGAGGTGAGAGGCACACGTGGACGAAGGCGGCTACTCCAAGGAGACCGCGCAGCAGCAGACTCAGAACCCTCAGCGCCAGCACCCCCAACTGCTCCAGAACCTCCAGCGCCAGCACCCTCAGCAGCTCCAGAACCTCCAGCTCCAGCACCCTCAGCAGCTCCAGAACCCCCAGTGTCAGTACCCTCAGCAGCTCCAGAACCTCCAGCGGAGACAACTCCAGGAGCAGAGTCACCAGCTCCAGCAGCGCGGCCCTGACGGCCAAGGTACCACTCAACCAGCTGCAGGGAGGAGAGGGGGAGTGGACGACGAGAGGGCAGCGGCGAGGCACCAGCGGAGCGACTACGGAGACGGCCGCTCCAGGGAGACTGCTCACCAGACGCCTCAGCAACCCCAGGTGCAGCACCCCCAGACTCAGTACTGCCAAGCTCAGCACCTCCAGGCCCCACACCCTCAAGCTCCGCACCCCCAGGCTCAGTACCCCCAGGCTCAGCACCCCCAGGCTCAGCACCCCCAGAAGTAGCACCCCGAGCAGGACCTGAGTCACCAGTGACCTCAACCGGCGCAGTCAAGGGAGGAGGGTCTACCTGAGACACACCTGAAGGAGCAGGACCGGGAGCGGGGAGGGGGTCTACCTGGGGAGCACCTGGAGCGAGGAAGAGCGGCGGGGGGGGGAGCGGGGCAGTGCGGTAGGGGAAGAGACGGTAAAAGGGAACCGACTCGTCGAACGTGACGTCCTGAGACGCAAAGACTGCCAACCAGACGCGTCAGGGACAAAGCCAAGGAAGACACAGGGGACAGCGCGGGCGGAGAGCTTGTCCGCAGTGGTATCGCGGACAAAGGCACGAGCACCCCAGACCCGGAAACGCGATGCATCGCCAACCTTCTCCGGCAAGGAGACACGGGGCCAGAGGTTGAGCTGATGCGCGGCGTACCGAACCGCAAACGGCCACAAAAAATTGGGGGCAGCCGCATGGATCATGGAGGTATGAGCGACCTCCATGACTAAGCCAATGCGGCGCTCAGCAACCCCATTCTGCTGCGGAGAGGCCGGAAGCGTGAACGACTGGGTGATGCCGTGCTCCGCACAGTAGGCTGCCAAGAGGTCTGAGGTGAACTCACCGCCTCTGTCAGAGTGCAGACGCAGGACAGAAAAGTCCCGCTGGAACCGCTCGCGGAGCTGGAGACGAACAGCGCGGATCCAAGGGATCAAAACATCAGGGACGTCCCCCTTGCTGCGCAAGGGGAAGACCGTGGTGTAACGCGTGTAGTCGTCGACGACCAGCAGAAAGTACCGCTCGTGGCCCTGTCCACGGACGCGGGCTGGGCCCCACACGTCCAGGTGGAGAGTCTGCAGAGGAGCCTCTGTGGGAGGGAACGAGGAGGAGTGAGGAGCGGCGCGCTGCCGCCCCTCGACGCAAGGAATGCAGGGCGGCGCAGGCGAGGGAGGTAGGGCAGGCAGAGACCTGGGAAGACCAGAAACCAGGGAGCGAGAGTGCATGCTACGAAGGCGAGGCAGGGAGGGGTGACCAAGGCGGTGGTGCCACAGGAGAGTGTCGTGCGACAAAGCGCGACACTCGCAGGGGGCCGCCAGCTGACCAGACGTAGACGCAGACGCAGCTACCTGAGGGGACTCAGTGGTGAGTGTGTACAGACTCGAGCCAGGCGCACGGGTAAACGTGGCCAGGTGTCGGCCCGTCCGAGCACACGTACAGTGAGTCACCCGCTGACTCGCAGGAGTGAACTGGTGAACCCCCCCATCCTGGAGGTCAGCTCCACTCACCAAGTTCGTAGAGAACGAGGGGAGGTAAAGACCTGACAGTGAGCCAGACGGGGTGGCCGGACACGGCAGAACCGTGGAGTAGTGGGCAAGGACAGGACCCCCAGAGGGGTCCGCCAGGGAGACTGCAACTGGCCGACTAAGCGGCGTGAGTGTGGTGCAGTCGCGAAAGAAGGAGCGGGAAGCTCCTGAGTCAAGGGTGAAGGTGTGCAAGACCGCAGCAGGCGCAGTACCAGAGAGAGCAGACTCACCAGCACCTGGAGCCGCAGCCTCACCAGCACCTAGAGCAGGAGACGCACTAGCACCTAGAGCAGCAGCCTCACCAGTACCTAGAGCAGGAGACGCACTAGCACCTAGAGCAGCAACCTCACCAGCACCGAGAGCAGCAGGCTCTATACCAGGGTCAGGCGGTACGCACAGGTAACAGGCACGGTCAGCACTAGTAGGCAATGCATACATGGCAGTGAGAATAACATCATAGTCAAGAGCAAAGATATCTACCCTCTGTCCATGCAGCTCCAGCCAGGTGGGGAGCTCAGCCTCGTCGCCAAACACTGTACGCCAGTCGTCGCTCAGACGGGCGAAGCAGCGGGACTGTGTGTGACCAAGCGTCCCGCAAGGCTGACCAACCCGATCACCTGTGCGAATGACGTACTGGCAGCGAACTGTACGCGTAGACCTGCTACACTGAGCGTACCACTCGTGGAGCTGCCGGGACGTAAGTGTCTCGCGTGGACGCCGCTGCAGCTGCAGCTGGCCACTGCCAGACGCTCCCAACTGACCAGCTCCAGGGCGACAGCTACGACGGCTACCGCGACAACCCCAGCTAGTATACCACTCACTAAGCTGCTGGGGCGTGAGAGACTCACGTGAACGTCGCTGGAGCTGCATCTGGCCACCTGCCAGTAGCAGTAGCAGCAGCAGTAGCGCGGGCAGGGCAGGCGCGGCAGGCAGGCAGGCAAGCAGGCAGGCAGGCAGGCCGACAGGCAGGCAGGCCGGCAGGCAGACAGGCAGGCAGGCAGGCAGACAGACAGGCAGGCCGGCAGGCAGGCAGGCAGGCAGGCAGGCAGGCAGGCAGGCAGGCAGGCAGGCAGGCAGGCAGGCAGGCAGGCAGGCAGGCAGGCAGGCAGGCAGGCAGGCAGACAGGCAGGCCGGCAGGCAGGCAGGCAGGCGCTCACCAAAGGCTGGAAGAGCAGGCGCTCGCCGGGCGAGCAGGGCCGGCGCTCGACGGGCGGCGGCCGAGTAGGCGCACGACAGCGGCGACGTCGGGGCCGCAACACCGGCTGCAGAGTAGGGCCGAAGCAGCTGCAGGGCGGGGCCGCTTCAGCGGCAGTTGCAGGGTGGGGCCGCGTCAGCGGCAGGTCGGGGCCGTGGCAGCTGCAGGGCAGGGCCGCATCAGCGGCAGGTCGGGGCCGTGGCAGCTGCAGGGCGGGGCCGCATCAGCGGCAGGTCGGGGCCGTGGCAGCTGCAGGGCGGGGCCGCATCAGCGGCAGGTCGGGGCCGAGGCAGAGGGCCGCGCGCGGCTCGGCGCGGGCTGCGCTGACAGCGCGCTGGGCTGCTGCAGGCCGCGCGCGGCCGCGCTAGGCAGTAGCGGGCCGCGCGCGGCTCGGCGCGGGCTGCTGCGGGCCGCGCGAGGCAGTAGCAGGCCGCGCGCGGCTCGGCGCGGGCTGCTGCGGGCCGCGCGCGGGCCTCGCGAGGCCGTAGCAGGCCGCGCGCGGCTCGACGCGGGCTGCGTGGGCTCGGCGCGGGCTGCGCGCGGCAGCAGCGGGCTGCGCGCGGCTCGGTGCGGGCTGCGCGCGGCTGCAGCGGGCTGCGCGCGGCTGCAGCGGGCTGCGCGCGGCTCGGCGCGGGCTGCGCGGGCTCGGTGCGGGCAGCGCGCGGCAGCAGCGGGCTGTGCGTGGCTCGGCGTGGGCTGCGCGGGCAGCAAGGGGCCTAACGGTCTGCAGGGGCTGTTCGCGGGCCTGAAGGGCGTGTAGGGGCGGCGCGCGGGCCTTACGGGCCTCTAGGGGCAGCGCGCTGGCCTAGGGCAGCAGGAGGCAGCGCTAGGGCTGCTGGACGGCGCGCGTAGTGCAGCACGTCACAAGGCAAGGCAAGGCAGGCAGGTACGTGGGGTAGCGTGGTAACCGCAGCGGTAGGTGGGCCCGAAAAAAAAAAAAAAACGGTCCTACGGACCTTAGTGCTCTGAAACCATGTTAGAATCTAGCAGCAGGAATGATGAACTAGCAGCATGCAGGAGTACAAGTAGTAAACCCTAATTGGGTTGTACCCCATATGGGCTACCCCACTACAGCCTAGATAATATGCAGCATATATGTTTGACAACCACATCATCATCTAGCCATGGCATCAATTCAAGCGAACAGCAGTGCTCCTCACACTCTCTACAACAGTCGACTTGTGCTAGTGCGACATTTGAAAACCCTTGACGCAAACCACAGCTTTCCGATGCATCCAGTGCCACTGACCCCTGGCGAGAAGAAGACTCGTTTTCTTCTAGCAAACCATCTCCGCCGTTGTCGAGGAAAAGCACTGCAGATGTTAACGCAGCAGCTAGTATCGAGAGCATCAGAGCGGGACCCCGAACAGCAGGGGCAGACGACTTGACGGGTGGAGGGGGTGAGAGATTGGCTCCCACAATAATGGTGATGTTGTATTCCCCACCATCGGCTGTAATCGTCCCCACGGAACCTGTGAATCGTGAAGGGAGAAACAGCAGAGGGACATGAGCAGGCGGGTGGTTGGGAAGAGAGATTAGCTCCCACTATGATGGTGCCATTGTATCCCCACCATCGGCTGTAATCGTCCCCACGGAACCTGTGAATCGTCAATAGGAGGCAGGAACAAGAAGCAGGAACAAGAGGCACTGGGACTTAGATGCCTCAGAGTTGTTTTTGAAACGTCTAAAGATGTACTGTATTTTTTCCATGTTGTCTGTAACGGTTCTCATTGAACCAGCAAATCGGGAGGGTGGAAAAAAAACGGGAGGACCTGGTGTTTTGACGTCCCAGAGATCGGAATCGAATCACTTAGTAGACTCAAAAGGAGACTTGTTGGAATGCTCAAAAGTTAAAGAGGTTGCACGAGTGAAATGGAACTCACAGTCATAGGGAGCCCAGCCCAGCTTCATGTTGTCTGTGTCGTACACCACTAGGTGGTTGCGCAACACTATGTCTGGGAGAGGGAGAGAGGATAAGGGGTGACAAGACAGGGGGTAGAGGTCGGAATGAGGAGAGATGACTGGGGATTCATGTTGTCTGTGTCATGGATTGGGCTGTTGACACAGTGACGGCAATGCGAACAGAGTGTACCTTTTGGTACAAGTGATGGTAACAAAAGCCGCCCCCCCCCCCCCCCCCCCCCCCCCCCCCCCCCAACAAACAAAAAAAAAAAAAAAAAAAAGAAGAAGAAAAAAAAATCAATTGGCAGTGACTGGAAACGCAAGCAAGGCGTGCCTCCAAAGAGTGACACTTATGAATTTGCCGTGTACCTAAATGGCAGTGAATGTAACGATTGTAAGGTGTACCTACCTCCAATGACAGTGATAGTGGAAAAATCTCCTCCAAGCATGGCTTGCCATCCTATGCATGCAGCCATGACCACCCCCTGCCACACACACACACACGAGCACACAGACACACAAGGAGCACACACACATGCGCACATGTTCACACGAGGGCTTATCCGGGTGCCTCAAAAGTAGTCTCCTCCGAGCATGACTTGCCATCTTATGCACACAGCCATGACCACCCCCTGCCAGCCACATGCATTCACACACACAAGCGCACATGATCACATAAATCATTATGCAGAGAGGGCATAAGTCGATGCACCCAAAGCATGACCACACACAAAGCCAAAGCCATGTGCACCCCCCGCCACACACACACGAGAGCAGGTAAGAGCAGATGCAGCACAAGGCAGCTCAGGGGGAGAGGGGTGGAACGCTGAGTTCACATTGGAGTGCGGGAGGTGAATTTTGAGACGTCTCAAGAGTGACTTTTGAGAAGGCTCAAAAGTGGGGAGAGGATTGCTGGCATGCTGGGCTCACATTGGAGTGCAGGAAAGCATAGCCGGGGGTTCAACGGTCATGTCAGCCTCTTCAGATGTGGGATGGGGCTTTAACTTATCAGGAAAAGGGGAATGGCATGCTGGGCTCACATTGGAGTGCAGGAAAACATAGCCGGGGGGTTCAACGGTCATATCAGCCCCTTCGAAATGCAGGGTCACTGTTGGAAAGTACTTGGAAAGGTCCTCGTACTTGCTGTGATAGGGAGGAAAGAACGCAGGACAGGAGGCAGGAAGCGGGGAGTGGGGAGCGGGGAAGGGGGAGGGGGAGGGGGTTGGTGGGGCGGAACAGAGGAAGACTGATTCTGAGGTGCCTAAGAAATGGTGGGAATCTTCTATGTATACCCTCAACTTGCACAGGTGCCTGTAACGGGCACAGTTACTTCGAGCCTAAGTCATAGCAGAGGAAGTTCGACGTGCCTGGGGCAGAGCGATGATGAGTGTTGTAACCTGGTAACAAGGATGTAGCACAACTGCCTGTAGCACACTCACTTGGAGCCAAAGTCGTAGCAGAGGAAGTCTGATGTGGCGCCCACTTGGGGTAGGGTGATGAGACTGGTAACCTGGTAACAGGGGGCAGGGTGGGGTGGAGAGGGGTTGGGAGTGGGGAGGAGGTGAGGAACACCAAAAGTGAAGGCTGTTTTGGAAGAGTAGTGAGAGCAGTAACCTAACAATCAACGGCAGCACCAGTGAGGAGTGCAAAACCCATGAGGGGCATGAGGAGGAGGATAGCATCTTCGTCAACAGCAGCAGCACCAGCGCCGACAGCAGAACTAGCACCAGCAGCGTCAACACCCCACGCGGTGAGTGCGCCGCCTCCCTCAGTCCCCCCTGTCATTTTTCATTGTTCAGTGCCTTCAGGCCACCTTGTCAAGGGCTGTGCACTCCTTACTAATGCTGCTGTTGACAAAGGTGCATTCCTCCTCTCTACTCACCGCGTCCAGCCATGTGTTGTAGATGGGAGTGGGGAACATGGCGAGGGTGGTGCCGCTGTCTATGATCACCCCTCGCCCCTGCAGGCTGCTGGCTTGAGGCAAACACAGAGGCAGATAGCCATCCACCACCCACTACTGCTTGCCTGTGTGCTGACCCCTCACTCACCGCGTCCAGCCATGTGTTGTAGATGGGAGTGGGGAACATGGCGAGGGTGGTGCCGCTGTCTATGATCACCCTTCCCCCCTGCAGGCTGCCTGCTGCCTGACCTGAAGTCAAACAAGTGCATGAAGCCATGCACACACAGCTGCCCCCCCCCCTGACTGCCACAAGCAGCACTCACCGCGTCTAGCCATGTGTTGTAGATGGGAGTGGGGAACATGGCGAGGGTGGTGCCGCTGTCTATAATCACCCCTCCCCCCTGCAGGCTGCCCGACCCGCCAAACACATCCTGCTGCGGTGAGAAGGACGACTGGTCGATGCCTGGCAGGCGCTGCCCTGCTACTGATATGCCATTCAGCTGGACGTAGTAATGTGATCTGGGTGTGGGGCGAAGGGCAAGAGACGCGGTTGGCAAAACAGATGAGGAGAGGCGGGGCGGGAAGGGTGAGTGTGTCGCCAAACACATCCTGCTGGGATAAGAAGGACGACTGGTCGATGCCTGGCAGGCGCTGCCCTGCCACTGAGATGCCGTTCAGCTGCACGTAATAATGTAATCTGATGGGGAGGTGAGGGGGGAGTGGGGTGGGGGGAGGTGAGCCGGGGGTGGGTTTGGGAACACAAAGAGGGGTTTTAGGGGTGAATGTGCGAGTCGCCAAACACGTCCTGCTGGGAGGAGAAGGACGACTGGTCGATGTTTGGCAGGCGCTGCCCTGCTACTGAGATGCCGTTGAGCTGCACGTAGTCTACTGAGATGACGTAGTACTGCCGTTGGGAGAAGGGGAAGGGGTGTGGGGGGATGATGCGGGAGAGGCAGAATGAGGGACTCACGCTGCCCTCCTACTGGGATGCCGTTCAGCTGAGCCCTGCTCAACTCCTCGCCCCCCAGACAGTGCGCAAACATGCCATTGGTCTCGCGTACTGCCTTTTGAGTCGACTCAAAAGTCAGCTTGAGTCGACTCAAAGTCAGCTTGAGTCGACTCAAAGCCAGCTTGAGTCGACTCAAAAGTCCCCCCAGACAGTGCGCAAACATGCCATTGGTCTCGCATGCTGCCTGCATTTGCGTGAGCATGGATCAAGCACCCAGCATAAACCCCTCACGTGCCACCCCTCACCTGTCAAATTCCATCACCACCCGAATCTCCCTCACCTGAAACCACCCCCCTCACCTGTCATCCAGCAGACTCGTGTAGAGCAGCCCATCCTCGAGAACTGTGCCAAAGATCAAAATCCCCTGCACAGCTCCTCGTCCCCTAAACAGTGCGCAAACACCCCCTGAGGGAAACAACCGCACCATGTCCGTGCGGCCAAGGGCGCCTCACCTGTCGTCCAGCAGACTCGTGTAGAGCAGCCCATCCTCGAGAACCGTCCCGAATATCAAACTCCCGCCGCCCAGCTCCTCTCCCCCTAAACAGTGTGCAAAGACGCCGTTGGTCTTGCGTGCAGCCTGCATCTGCGTGAGCATGGAGAGCGCACCCATGTTGAGCCCCATCACACCGTCCACCAAGTGGTTACCGGACACAAGGTTACCCGATTGCTTGAACCCGCACCTGCAGGGGAAGAGAAGGAGATGGAGAGGGAAGGGAGAGTGAGCATGGAGAGCGCCTTATGTTGAGCCCATCACTCGATCTTTCACGAGGTAGCTGGTGCTGCTGGAGTTGTCCGCGTACTGGATGCCATAGTAGCACCGTGGATCCCCTGAGTTCGCGTACAGCATGCCCACACAGCTCCTCTCTCCTCTCCCTCCCTCTCCCTTCCCCTCCCTTCCCCTGCCCTCCCCTACCGCCCCCTCCCCACTCCCCCCCCTCCCTTCCCTCCCCGCCCACCTACTCACCCAAAGACTATCTCTTTGGACTCACCTAGTCCATGGAAGCGGGGTCACCCCCGAAAGTGGAAAAGCTGAGCTTATCCCTAACCAGGTAGCCGGTGCTGCTGGAGTTGTCCGCGTACTAGATGCCGTAGTAGCACCGCGGGTCCCCTGAGTTGGGGTATAAGATATCCATCCAGACAGCCCTGCCCGCCCCCAACCCCCCTTCCTCCCTTCCCACTCACCCAAAAAGGTAGTCCATAGAGGCAGGGTCACCACCCAAAGTGGAAAAGCTGAGCTTATCCCTAACGAGGTAGCCGGTGCTGCTGGAGTTGTCCGCGTACTGGATGCCATAGTAGCACCGCGGGTCACCCGAGTTAGGGTATAAGATGTCCAGGCAGCCCTGCCCGAGCGTTCGCCGGGTCTGCTGCAGCGCCGAGCAGGTGGAGGTGCTGCAGTCAACCACCTGGTGGGGTGACGAGGGAAGGGGAAAGAAGGGAGTGGGGCAAGAAGGGAGTGGAGCAAGAAGGGAGTGGGGAAAGAAGGGAGTGGGGAAAGAAGGGAGTGGGGAAAGAAGAGCTCTGTGTGTGTAAGCAATCACCCGAGTTGGGGTACAGGATGTCCAGGCAGCCCTGCCCGAGTGTTCGCCGGGTCTGCTGCAGCGCCGAGCAGGTGGAGGTGCTACAGGGGGCTGTTGAGGATAGAGGTGGGGAAAGGAGGAGGGGCGGATAGAGAGAGATTTGGGATACAGGATGTCTAAACAGCCCTGCCTGAGGGTTTGCCGGGTCTGCTGTAGCCCCGAGCAGGTGGAGGTGCTACAGTCAACCACCAACCCACCCACCCACCCAACACCTTCTCCTGCACCAACGAACCCACCCACCCTCCCAACACCACTCCACTCCACGCACCAACCCACTCAACTGACCTGTGCTGTTGACGACTTGGTAATGTCGTACGGCGGGGAAAGGACCTGTGGGTGGGAGCGAAGGGGCGTTGGGGAGAGGCGGCAGGGTGGGGGGAAGGAGGGGGGAGGACAGTTGTGCTGAAATAGTGAGTCTGTCTTTCAGGGACGTCAGGGATCAGTGACTTGAAAATGTCTGAAGGCACGAAAACCCTTCCTCTCAGCCCTTAACCGTTTCTTACTCCTCTAAACACCCCACGACCGGAACGAAAATCCACGCACCACCGTGGAGCCGACTGGGCAGGCGAGGCAGGGGGAGCAGGTGACCCACATGACGTCACTGCCTGTGTCGATTTGCACCTTGAACTTTTGCACGGGCTGCCCGAGCTGCACCTCCGCCCAATAGAGGCTGGAGATAGGGAACGAGGGGCAGGGTGACAAATTCAGGGTGAGTGCACTCAGGGCTAGTGCGTATAACGAGGATGAAATGGGGAGGAGCAGGATGGGGAAGGTGGGCCGGAAGAGGACTGCAGGGAAGGTCTGAGGACATAACACATACCCTCCTCCATCAACGCCAGCGCAACCTATTTTTGTTAACGAATCGTTTCATAACGCATACATTCGCCATAATCGACAGAACATACTCTTGGGCCCCGAAAACCCCCACATGTGGTTACTGCCATCCCCAATCATACAAGTTCCCGTTGTAGTCACCTCTGTCGCGCGTACCCCGCTATAGCCATACGACCTACCCCGCTATAGTCATCTCCATATTGCCTCCTAGTTGGTAGAATGCCCCGCCTCCCACTTCAGTCACCGTCCCCTCTGCCAACGATCCGTTCCCCGCGCTCCCAACATTCGTCCAATCCCCTGTTCCCGCTCTAACCGCGCCGCTTTCCGCGCCGGTTTTGGCGGAGGGAGACTTTCCTTGAAGCCGGAGGAGCCGGCGACGATCGTGCAGTTTGAGAAGTCGAGCGTGATCTGCGGTCATGACGCCACGTGGCTGCCCGTGGCGCGCGTGGAAGGAGCTTTCAGAGAGATGCGCGTAGGAGTGAGTAACGGGGAGGACGTAAAACGAGGATGACCCATCGGACGGCTGGGATTCGACGAGCGAACGGAGAGATCGAACGGGTCTAGAACCGAGCCTGGAACCTGGTCTTGTAACGGGATCGGTGGCGCTTGTAACGGGTACGGAAGGCCGGCTGGCTTGAGTTTGACAGGGCAATAAGGTTGCTACGAGAGCCGCTAGAAATAGCAGCGCGAGCGGTAATTGATGGGATAAGGATGTAGTTAGAAGTGTGAAACTGAGAAGTTGCCTAGATTGGGGACGGCGATCGCGGAAACCATTGCATCGTAGCTTCGATTCGTGAAATAAAACCATGGTGGTTCCTCTAAAAGACGCACTTAGGGAGCCGACTACGCTTAGGCTACGTGATACGCGCTGACTCTCGCTGGTACGATGATCGTATATCCGCTGCGACGACAGGCTTTGGTTCGCGACCACTCTGGTGTCGTTCGGGAGTCGCAAGAGCAAATGGTAATGCTTCCTGCTAACGCTCAAAATGTACAGAGCTATTTGATCACTTCGGTTTCAATCGGAAGGAAATGGATCAGCTGAGATCGTGACCGACGCAATAATGCAAGGACGGAGGAGAACAAAAACACAGCGAGCGAACCGCAGCAGCTCGTGTAGACCCGTTCATCTATCTTAGAAGATCAAGAAGATAGTAATACGGGATGCTGATCATCAGAGAAGCATCGGATGGTTTTGTTCGATGGAGGGGTTGGCCCTCACATATGCAATGCGATGCGAAGCATGAGAAGATAATGTTAGTTGAGAACTCAAGAGACTCGCCTGGAGGATGATATGTGGAGTGGAATTGCCCCTGAGGTCCCAAAACAATCTCGAGGGGAAGCTCGTGCGACCTGAGGCTGACGAAAGCCTCATCTCTGTTCGCCAGCCTGGCCAGCTGGGTGGAGGAGGACTACGGCAAACTGACCGAAGGTGGACTGCCCGTGGTCATAAAAAAAAATACTGGCGATTTTGTCAGCATGAAGTAAAGTTTAGGAGCCAGAATGTACAACGATTCGTCATCATAGCGGAAAAGAAATCTTTTGCGGTCAGAATAAACTTTGTGACGACGGTAGCGAGTCATAGCGATGTCGAAGCGGATGCCGCGAAGCAAATTTGCGCAGCCGTGTTCGTAAGGGCGAACGAGGGCTGTCGTCGACTGAACAGCCGACTTCGTCATCGGTTTTTGCGAAACATATCGAGCGAAGCGAGGGCACCTCGCAAGGGGAGGTGCTTCCGAGGAGCAAATCAACTAGGCACGTGGTTTTCTTCTATTGGACCGTAACTCGAAGCGAAGCGGTTCGATGGATGACAAAAATATGTACAGCAGTTTCTGTAACAAGGTCGAATTGCTGGCAGGATGGATAGTGGTGGTGATGAGCGGGACCACGCTGACACGCACCGACCACCTGTACCCAAAACTGTATCGAGCGAAAGCAAAATGTATTTTTCTTAGGAAGCGAAGACCAGAGTTGGTCTTTTACATAAAACACATGCTAAGCACAGCCACCCCTACAGTTTGTTCCCAACATTGTGTTCTAATCTCAGGTCATCTTTCCTAATAGAGTTTGCTCCACAAAGCCCGCCCCACCTACAGGCTTCATGTCATGTCCTTTCCTCTCTATGGAATCTCCATTCTTCGCTTTTCCGGGCTCCTCCTATGGTGCACATTTCTCCCTGCTCCCACAGGTAAATACAGGTTAATCACTCCTCACTCCCTCAACATAGCGTTGTCTCTCCTCCCTCCTCCCTCACCAATGATTCCTTCTTCTCTCCTGACATACCCTCCGGCTTCAGCAGTATCACTTCCTCCTGCCTTGTTGCCTTGGATCCATTGATACCTTCAGCCTCATCTTTCGTGCCCCCAGGTTTTCCTCTCTTCCCTTCTCCCTCCCCTACCTCCTCCCTTCTCTCCGGCTTTGCTTGATCTCCTTCCTTCATCTCTCCTCCCTCCTCTCCTCCTGCCTCACCTTCCTCTTCTTTCTCCCCCTCCGCTTTCTCCCCTTCCTCTTTCTCCCCCCGCTCATTGACCCCTCCCTCTTTCTTGTCTCCTCCTCTCTCCCCTCCCTCTTTCTCACCTCCCTCTTTCTCCTCCTCCCCCTCCTCCCCCTTCTCCCCCTCCCCTTTCGCAACCCCCTCTTTCTCCCAATCCTTCCTGCCCCCTTTACCTCTAACCCCAACCATTGTATTTCTCTCCACACCCTTGCCAACATCGCCCACCATTTCCCCACCAACACGAGCCACCGTGATTGACTTTTGAGTCGGCTCAGAAGATTTTCTCTCCACACTATCGCCAACATCGTCCACCATCTCCTTATCAACACAAGCCGCCGTAACCCCTTCCTCCCCCGCAGCAACTTCATCATCCCCATCGCCTCTCCTGTTCCCTTCCTTTTCTGCTTCCCCTTTCTCCCCTTGCTCCCCTTTCCTTCCTTTCTCCTTTCCGTCTCCACCCCGGCCCATTCCCTCCCTCTCCTGCCGCTGTAACCCTTCCACTCCTTTCCCTTCTTCTCGTTCCCATCCTTCTTTTCTTTGCACCCCTCCTGCTCCCTCTCTCTTCCTGTCCTCTTTCTCCCCTTTCGCTTCCTTCCACTCCTCCTTCACCACTCTCTCATTTCGCTCATCCTCCCTTTCCCCCCTCTCACCGTGTTGCTCCTCCCCTTCCCCTTTCTCCCTCTCCCCTACCCCTTTCTCCCTCTCCCCTTCCCCTTTCTCCCTCTCCCCTTCCCCTTTCTCCCTCTCCCCTTCCTTCGGTTCCCCTGCAGGAAAATCCTCCCGTTCCCTTCCCACTCCAGGCACATCTGGATCCGATCTGGAAGGATCTAATCTGGAAGGATCTAATCTGGAAGGATCTGATATAGAAGAACCTAATCTGGAAAAATCAGCATCCAACTTTTGCTTGACACTCCCCTTTCCATCAGCCGATCCGCCCTTGGTCTTTCCCATCTCCACAGCATCCAAACCAGCAGCCTCAAGTTCACATATAACAGGGTCAGCTTTTAGGGGGTCTGTTTTGGGAGGGTCAGTTTTCGGGGGGTCTGTATTGGGAAGGTCAGGTTTCGAAGGGATTGTTTTCAGAGAGTCTGTACTGGGAGGGTCTGTTTTGGGGGGGTTTGTTTCCAAAGGATCTGGTTTGAAAAGAGCTTGTACGTCTCGCCTCCTCTTACCACCAGCCAACCCATCCGCGCCCTTCTCCACCGCAACAGGATCCGCTGCAGAACCTCTTTCCAAAATCGCAGCTTCTTCAGGCACCTTCTCTGTGGTTGAATCTCCAACCGTTCTACCTGGCGAGGTCTTATTTCTTGAGCTATCATCTGCCAAGGTCTTATCTTGCGAGGTCTTATCCGCCGATGTCTTATCTTGCGGGGTCTTATCTTGCGAGGTCTTATCTTTCGAGGTCTTATCCGCTCTGCGATGTCTTATCTTGCCGGGTCTTATCTTGCGAGGTCTTATCTGCCGAGGTCTTATAAGCTGATATTGGATCTCCGGAGGTCTTATTCCCAGAGGTTGTAACTAACGAGATCTTATCTGCTGAGGTAGAATCTCCAGAGGTCTTATTTGCTCCCATCGGATCAGCTTCAGATTCAGGCTTACCACACCCTTTAGCAGATCCAGCTGCTTCTGCCTTTGTGTCTGCTTCAGGTTCAGGTTCAGGTTGCTGTTCAGGTGCAGCTTTCGGTTCCGGTCCAGGAGCAGTTTCAGGTGCAGCCTTCGGTTCAGGCTCAGCTTCAGCTTCTGAAACCTTTAAACTAGAAGGGCGCAGCTGGGGCGGATCTGTTCTGGGCAGATTAGCTTCCAGGTCAAGCGTACCACACATCTCAACAGACCCAGCTGCAGCAGGCTCAGATTCAGCTGCAGCCTCGGATTTAGCTTCTGCTTCTGCGTCAGCTTCCGAAGGCTTTGAATTGAAGGGAAGCGCCTGGGGCAGGTTTGCTCGTGACGAATCAGCTTCTAGGTCAAGCTCACCACGCCTTTCAGCACACCCAGCTGCAGCTTCCACTGCAGCTTTATCTCGAGCCTTCGCTTCTGCTTCTGTCTCTGAAGGCTTTGAACCAAGAGGAAGCGACTGGGACAAATCTGCTCTGGCCAGATCAGCTTCTAGGTCAAGCTCACCACGCCTTTCAGCACACCCACTTGCAACACCCTCGGCTTCAGCCTGAGCTTGCTCCTTCGCTTCAGCTTCGTCTTTTGCTTCAGCTTTCGAAGATTCTAAACTGAAAGGAAGCGACTGGGGCAGGTATCCACTGGAGCTGCACCGGGTATCGTCACCACTAACTTTTGGCTCTGCCCTGGACCTGCTTTCGAGTCGACTCAGAAGTAGGGCAGTTTCACCGGTAGCTTCTGGTTCTGCCATGGACCCTGATAAACAAAGCCCAGCTCCGATCTTCGACTTCTGAGTCTTATCAGACACCTCAGAGGTAGCTTCTGGTTTTGCGAAGGATCTTGATAAGCACAGACCTGCGCCCAAGCCTGTCCCAGACCTAGGGTCACCAGGTTCGGAAACAGCCGTACCAGAGCCCAGCCCTGTCCCCGTCCTATCTGCTCTCGCAGATTCGGTTGTGGAACAGTGCAAACCACTTTCTTGCGATCCCATCCGTAGATCTTGCTCCGAAGCAACCTCAACCGTCGGATCCTGCTCCAAATCCAGCCCCTGCCGTCCAGATCGTCTGCCCGCTCCATCGCCGATCTCAGCCGTTGGAACAGCCTCCAGATCAAACCCTGACCGACCCTCATCAGCCCGAGCCTCAGCAGCAGGTTCGGACTCCAGGTCGAAATCCAAGCCTCCTCTACCCTTCTTTCCACACCTCTCCGACTCCCGATCTTCTCCTTCCTCTCTCTCACCTCTCCCATCGTTCTCTAATCTATTGAAGTCCACACGATCCCTCTTTCTGATGCTACTAGGCTGAACCTCAGAAAGCGTTTGTTTCACATCAGCATCAACTGCTGCTGTGTTTTTTAACCCTATGTGCCACCCTGCCCCTCCTATTCCTGCTCCTGCTCCTGCTCCTGATCCTGCTACAGCCGCTGCTGCTACTCCTGCTCTTGAGCCTGCTGCTGCGACTGCTGCTGCGTCTGCTGGTGCATCTGCTCCTGCAACATCAGCCTCGGGATCCGCGTTTAAGTCCGGAGCACCGTTGCAGGCATAGGCAGCCCGCGCCCAGCTCTCAGGCGGGTTGAACGCTGAGGAGAAAGAGGAAGGGGAGAAAGGGGGGGGGAGCGAGAGGGGGGCCAGGAAGAGAACGGGCAAATAGACCAGCTAGAAGGTCTGGAGCACTGTTACAGACATAGGCAGCCCGCGCCCAGCTCTCAGGCGGGTTGAACGCTGAGGAATAGAGAAGAGGGGGGGAGAGGGAGGGGGGGAAAGGAGGGGGAGGGGGAGAAGAGGAGTGGACCAGGGGGGGAGACGGGAGACAGAAGGGGCGCAAGGACCGGTTAGGACCAGGGGGCTCTTGGAACTTGGATGCATGGGGCGCAGAGATGGGTAAAGACCGTAGCACGGATGGATGGGTAGGTGGCCCCAGCCGAGTTGTCAGGCGGGTTGAACGCTGAGGTTTAGAGACGGGAAGAGGGGAAGAGACGGTGGGGGAGAGGGAACGGAAGGGGCGCAGAGATGGGTAAAGACCGTAGCACGGATGGATGGGTAGGTGGCCCCAGCCGCGTAGTCAGGCAGGTTGAACGCTGAGGAGGGAATGGAGAGGGCAGGAGGGAGGGAGAAAGAAAAAGGGGAGAGGCAGAGGGGGTGGGGTTGTGGGGGAAGGGTAGCAAGAGGTTTTGGAGGGGGAGGAAAGGAAGGAGCAAATAGAGAGTCGAGGCTTGGAGAATTCTTAACCACTTTTGAAGACTCTCAGAAGTGAATTCAACCCATTTTAAAAACCCTCAGAGTGAATTAACCACTTGTAAAAACTCTCAGAAGTGAATTCAACAACTTTAAAAAAACTCTCGGAAGTGAATTCAACCACTTTTGAGAATCCTAAAGAATGCAGGATAAGAGAGCTTGGACTAAAGGCTGCGATTACTTACTGGGTGTGTGTCTGCTGCGTCTATTTTTGATTCCTTAGATTGCGGGATAAAAGAGCTTGGACTAAAGGCTGCGATTACTTACTGGGTGTGGGTCTGCTGCGGGAAAGAGGTGCGGGAACGGTAGGAGAGAGGGCGGAAGGGCGAGTAGTAGGGGGGGCTGTTGCTGTTGCTGTTGCTTCTGCTCCACCCATATGGAGAGAGGTTGAGGGAGCAGCAGCAGCAGGGGAGGGAAGGGAGGAGGTTGGGGTGGAGGAGGGATGGGGTACGACTGCCGGCTGTAGCTGAGAGAGGAGCTGCCGCTGCTTCTGTGAACATAAAAAACGGAGGAAAGGGGGAAAAGGGGGGGGAGGGGGGAGAGGGAAAAAGGGGCAAAGGGATCAGGGCAGCAGGGGTGGAGGAGGGATGGGGTATGACTGACGGCCGTAGCTGAGAGAGGAGCTGCCGCTGCTTCTGTGAACATAAAAAACGGAGGAAAGGGGGTGGGAAAGGGGGGAAGGGAGGAAGGGGAGAGAGAGCGGGGGAGAGGAAAACAGAGGCACACACACACAGGCATCTCATGTAAATGATGGGACTCTAGAGAATTCTCAGAAGCAAGCACACACATGCACCTCATGTAAAGAATGTGACTTTAAATATTTCTCAAAAGCGCACACACACATGCACCTCATGTGCTCGATGCAGCTCGCAAATCTGCCTGCTGCACTCCTCCTCCTGAGACGAGCCCTTTTTTTGTTCGACTCAGAAATACTCACCCCAAGCCAGCACACACACGCGCACCTCATGTAGTTGATGCAGCTCGCGAATCTGCCTGCTGCACTCCTCCTCCTGAGACTGCATGGCAGCAAAGACCCGTCGAGCCACCTCCTCCCCCAAGCACTTGAACTGAGTGAGTTTTTGAGACGTCTCAAAAACCCAAGCAAGCACACACATGCGCACCTCATGCAATTGATGCAGCTCGCGAATCTGCCTGGCGCACTCCTCTTCCTGAGACTGCATGGCGGCAACGACCCGTCGAGCCACCTCCTCCCCCAAGCACTTGGCCATGTTGCTCCTCAACCTCTCAACCGCCCTCAACTCCTCTGCAGCCCTCACGTCCTCCACTGATCTCCTTTCCTCCGTCTCCACTGCTCCCTTTTCCCCGCCTGGCCTCCAGCCTTCCACCTCCCTTTCCTCTTTAACTCTTCTCCCCTCGTTCCCCCTCCTCCCCTCCTCTCTCGTCTCCTCCACTCTCCTCCCCTCCTCAACCACCCCCTTCTTTTCCCCTCCTCTCTCTCTCCTCTCCATCCTTAGCTCTGCAGCTTTCGTATTTTCCTCACATGCTCCCTTCTCCACCACTCTCTTTTTCTCCAAGTTTTTCTTCTCCTCATGCAACACACCACTGGCAGCACCGACAGAAGCAGCCTCGCCAGCTTCAGCATAAGCACCTGTAGCAGCACCTGTAGCATCATCTGTACCATCGTCTGTAGCAGCGGCTGTGCCCACCTCACCTGCACCACCACCTGTAGCAGCACCTGCAGCATCTGTAGCAGCACCACCAGCACCATCTGTAGCACCACCAGTCGAACCAACCCCTCCCACACTTCCCACTCCACTGCCACTTAACCCAGCCTCGTCCCTATTCAGCACCACCCGATCACTGCTCCTCATTCCTCCTGTCTCTTCTAGGTTAAGATTCACCCGCTGCCACCACTTTGCCTCCACCACGCCTGCATTATCAGCGCCAGCATTGACGCCTGTAGCACCGGCGGCTGTAGCGGGAGCGGCTGTAGCGGCAGCAGCAGCTGCTGCTGCCATTGATGCTGCTGTTTTCCTAACTGGAGGCACTACTGCTGCTGCCGCCGCCGCTGCTGCCGCCGCTGCCAATGCTGCTCCTGGTGCTGCTTCGGGTGCAGCAAGCGTGGCACCTGCCGAACCCCCTGCTACCGCTTCCAACTCCTTCTTACTCCTCCCCACCGAAGCCCATCTGTTCAGGAAGAAATTCGCAGGAACCTGCACCCCTTGCACTTGCCCCTCCCCGATCCCTCCCATCCCTCCCATTCTCCTCCCCTCATCCCCCACACCCCTCACCTCTTCCTCCACTTCCTCTCTCCTCAATCTCTTCGCCACCCCCTCACGTCCCTTCCGTCCCTCTTCCTCCTCATCCACCCCCTCCTCCTTCCGTCTCTTCTCCCCACCCTCCGTCAGTCTAGACTCCCCTTGCTTTCCAAACCACTCACCCTGCTGATTCACCTCCCGTCCCATCATTCCTCCCCCCTGCTTTCCAAACCCTTCCCCCCTCGCCCTCCTGATTCATCCCCAAAACCAGCACCAGTCCTTAAAGCGGCTTCAAACGACCTTTTCTTCTGAGGCGCCTCAAAATCCGATCCAAAGATATGATTCTCCTTCTCCCCCTTCTGCAAATACCCATCCCCCCCCTGCCCTCCCGCTTCCATTTCCCCACCTCCCGTTCCCAACCCTAATCCTCCCCCTTTCCCAACACCTCCTTCCATTCCTGATCCAACTCCCCCCAATCCCCCTCCCCCCGCGCCTGACCCCGCGCTTCCCCCCGCCCCTTCCCCTGCCCCTCCCCCTGCCCCTACCCCTCCGCCTCTCCCCCCTCCCCCTGCTCCTGCCCCCCCCACAACCCCAGCAGCAGCAAGCCTAGCGGCTTCCAGCTGCCGTGCTGCCTCCTGCGGTCCCAGCCGCCCCTCCAGCTGCAGCCTTAAAGCCAGGTCCCCTTGACTGCCAATCCCTTCCAGCTGCCGTGCTGCCTCCTGCGGTCCCAGCCGCCCCTCCAGCTGCAGCCTTAAAGCCAGGTCCCCTTGACTGCCAATCCCTTCCAGCTGCCGTGCTGCCTCCTGCGGTCCCAACCTTCCCTCCAGCTGCAGCCTTAAAGCCAGCTCCGCTGCTTTCGCCTCTTGAGCCGCTCTTGCTCCTTGCGCCGCAATTGCTTCTTGTGCCGCTTTCGCCGCGTGAGCCGCTTCCAACCCCCGTAACTGACCCAAGTCATCCGCTTTCACGTCCCTTAAAGCCAACTCCGCTGCTTTCAAATCACTTAAAGCCGAATCTTTCAAATGAGATTCCCCCTTGAGGCGATTCCAAAGGACAGAGTCGGCTAAAGAAGCAGGGGAGAATGGGGAGGCTGTAGCAAACGGGGAGGGCCCCTGTCCTGGGGAGGGGGCGGAGGAGGGGTTGAAGGGTTGTTGAGCTGTAGTTGCTGCTGCTGCTGCTGCCGCCGCTGCCGCTGCTGCTGCTGCTGCAGCAGCTGCTGCTGCTGGGCTTAAGTCTCCCAGGTTTCCCAAGTGCGCTGCAGCCGCTGTTGCTGCTGCTGTTGCCGCTGCTGTTGCCGCTGCTGTTGTAGCCGCCGCTGACGCTGCTGTTGCCGCGTTTAAGTTGTTCAAATGCGCTGCTGCTGCGGCGGCTGCGGCTGCAACTGCTGCCGGCGAGTTAGCATTATTGTTACCTGCTGCGCCTATTCCTCCTCCTGCCGCTCCTGCTGCCCCTGCTCCTCCAGTTCCTCCTATTCCCCCTGCCGCTCCTGCCGCTGCAGCCTCGCGCATGTGAGCTTCGGCAAGGATTCGCGAGGAGAGGGACGCGATGAGCGATGCCGAGGCTCCGCTCACAGGCTCGGACACAGTTCGGGAGCTGCTGCAGGAAGGAAAGGGAGCCCAAGGAAGGTTTGAGAGCGGGCAACTTTTGAGTCGACTCAAAAGTCACCTCTGCTGCGGGAAGGAAAGGGGCCGCGAGGAAGATTTGAGAGCGCGCAGAAAGGGGAAATCGAAGGGTGCGTGAAGTGGGGGGGTGAGGTGGGGTACGAAGGGGGGGGGGGGGGTGAAGAGGGGGAAGGGGGGGAAGCAGGTTGGAGAAAAAAAGCGGGAGATTCAATCAGAGCAGCGTGCGTTAAGTAACTGCATGCACGGTTGTGTGTGGTGCTGGCGCTGATGTTAGTTCTGAGATTTCTCAAAAGTGACATCTACAATCAGAGCAGAGCAGAGTGCGTCGAGTTACCTCATGCACGGTTGTGTGTGGTCTGGTCTGGTGCTGTCAAAGCAGGGTGAATGTGCTGAATCTGACGCAAGGGTAACGGCCATTGCGGTACAGCACGGTACTGTACGGTATGGTACAATAGTAAACAACTTACTGCATGAACGGGTGCGTGTGATGCACCGGGAAAGCCCTTTCTCTGCCTGCCTTCTCCTCCTCCTCCCTCCTGCCCGCCCCTACCCCAAACATAGCGCCCCTTCCGCCATCTTCCCCCCTTAGTCGCTCCCCACCAGCATCATTCCCCCCACTACCCTGCCGCTGGTCAAATCCCCCCAAGAAACCCCTTTTCCCGCTTTCCTCCTCGGGATTCCTTCCTCCGCCCACCCCCCCTCCCCCTCCGCCTCCCCCTCCGCCTCCCCCTGCGCCTCTGCCTCCGCCTCCGCCTCCTCCTCCGCCTCCGCTTCTGCTTCCCCCATATGGTGACCCTTCCGTTCCCCCATCCCCCCCATAACTGCTGTGGCGCAAACCCGAGGGCCCCAGCCCCGCGCCACTGGCGGAGAGAGGCACGGCGCTGGGCAGACGCGCAGAAAGCGAGCTCCCCCCCGCGGCCCCGGAACTACCGCCTCCCCCAGCACTCAAACCCGCGCCCCCCGCGCCCACTCCGCTTCCACCGGCTCCGCCAGCGCTCATCTCCGCGCTTCCCCCGCCGGCGCACGCGCCTGACGCGAGATTGGACAGCCCGCGGGAAGAACCCGCCTCAGCAGGACCCCCTCCTGCCGCGGAGCCTAGCGTTCCCCCCAACGTTCCCCGGGGCGGTCCCACTGACGCTCCCCCCGGCGCTACGCCTGATGCTGCGCCCAGCGCTGTTCCGCGGGGCCCGGGGGTGCGCGAGCTGCTGTCTACCTCCCACGAGTTGTACCCTGCGCCGATCGCCACAGATCCCCCTACCGGTCCCCCTGCTCCGCCAAACGCCCCCGCGTCGAGATTCGATCCCCCGCCTGCTGATTCCACCTGCCGCAAATCGTTCTGTGAGGAGAAAGGTGGGGGGGGGGGGGGGGGGGGGGGGGGAGAGAACAGCGCCAGAAAGATATGAATAAATAAATAAATAAAAAGCAACCCGCCGGTAATTAGAATGGAACAACAAAACAAGCAAGCAAGCCAAACAACACACAAACAAAATATGCAGCATTTTTTGGAATAAAATATTAGAGTTTTATGGCTCCCAACGTCACTCCGCTTACCAGGATCTGAAGCCGCCGAATAGCGAACTCGCTTAGCGACTGCATCGCCCCGCCCGTGCCGCCTCTTCCCGAACTCGCCGCGTGCGCAGCTGCCGCGGCCGCCGCCACCGCCGCCCCCCTCAACCCCCCGCCGAAGATACTACCAAACCCCGCGCCCCCTTCGCTCGCGGTCCCTCCCCGCGTTCCCGCTACGCCTCCGCCCAGCCCTCCGCCCAATCCTCCGTCTAGCCCTAATCCGCCTGCGCCAAACAAGCCTCCGCCCAAACCTCCGCCCAAGCCTCCGCCGAGCCTGTGAAATCCCTCTCTACCCAAAGCTGCGCCTGCCGAAGCTGCCATGACCACGTCGAGCGGAACCCGCTCGTGTCCGCCCGGACTGCTCCCCGTCGTTCCGCTCAGGCCCCCAACCGCTGCGCCCAGCCCGCCCAAGCTTCCGCCCGCCCCGCTCCCTCCGCCCACCACGGATCGGTCCCCGCCCACGCGCATTCGATCCGCGAAGTCGCTAGATAACGATCGCGACGCGGCAAGTAGCGATAGTTGCCTTCTAGCAGCGATACTCAATAGCGGATCGGACGCGGCTGCCGCAGCCGCCGCCGCCGCCGCCGCTGTCGCGAGGTTGTCGGAAAGCGGCCCCAAAGGGGCAGAGGGCGACGCGAGAGAGGAGGAAGCGACGGAGGGAGGTAAGGGGAATAGTCCGCCGAGGCCCAGGGCTTGAAGGGCCGCGGAAGAGGTTAGGAGGCTTGAGGGATCCTGCTGCTGAAGCTGTCGCAACTGCTGCTGTTGCTGCTGCTGCTGTTGTTGCTGCTGCTGCGACCGCTCTAGTTCCGCGTTGCGCAATTCCTGCAGGCGGAGCTTCTCCAGGTGAGCAATGCCGTGCCCGCGCTGCATCACTTTTACCTTCTTCTCCCCGCCCGCCCCCGCCGAACTCCCCCCCGCTCCCCCCGCTCCGCCAGCTCCGCTGCGTCCTCCCGGACCGCTACTCTCCGCGCCCCACGCGCCCCCGCCGCGCTCCCGCTTTGTTCCGCTCATTGATCCGCGGCCCTCCCGTTCACCCCCGTTCCGCCGATTGGAGGCCTCGCCTCCCCCGCCGCCGCCGCCGGCTTTGCTGGTGACCTCCATTGCTGAGAGGAATAATAGAAGTTCAACGAATAAAAGGGACAAAAAAAAGAAATAACGAATAAAAGGGACAAAAAAAAGAAATATAGTCTTTGTAAGAGCAACCGCTCGACCCTAAACTACATAGACACGGATATTATTTAGCTAGTTAAGTTGAACGCCCAGGCGATGGATGGAGGGTACGGATCGGCGAACGCACGAGCGAGATGGACACATATACGAGGGTCCGAGGAAGCTTCATGAAAATAGAAACGTCCTTCACCTGTTTTTAGTCCACTCAAAAACACAAAGTTTGGAAGCTCGAAGAGGTATACTGAGCTTTCCCTACAACGAAACAGCCTCCTAGGCCAACAACTTCGGTACGGATTTCGGTAAGCGGCCAAGCCAAGCTAGAGATAAGGAAGACGCCATCGAGATAGGCTGACTGTACGTTTAGGCAAGCACTTTCATGATGCAGTTGAATGTCGACCAAGTGAGCTCCAAGTGTCATTTTCCCCTGAAGCCGGATTGAATGCCCTTGCCTAGGAAGGCTTGCAGGCAGAGACAAAAGGGAAAGTATATCCCCGCTCCTGACTTTCAGATTTCTCTCATATTCAGCCCTAGGTTTACTCAAAAAGCACCACTTTCTAGAATTTCTCTCACGCGAGGCCCAAAGTATGTTCAAAAGTGGTCCTGCGGGGCGATTTTTTCGACACGTGTCCTCTTGTTACACCATCTGACGAACTTCCACGCATGGAAAATTTGGACGGGGGCAAAAAACATAAAACCCCTAGAGAACCAGGACACATTCGCGGGAGGGATCAACCCTAAACACCTAGCAGGTCCCGTGTTTAGGGTTGCTCCCTCCCGAAAATGTGTAATGGTCCTTTAGGGGTTTTATGTTTTTTTGTCCCGTAAAAACTTTTCCGGCGCGAAAATTGCCCTGACAAACGGTTAGTTCAGAGTGGAAGTGCGTCAGCTGGTAACAAAACGACACGTGTCGAAAACTTCGCCCCACAGGACCAGTTTTGAACATACTTTGGGCCTCGCGTGAGAGAAATAATGGAAAGTGGTGCTTTTTGAGTAAACATAGGGCTAAATATGAGAAAAAACTGAAAGTCAGGAGCTGGGATAGACTTTCCTGAGACAAAAGCTAGGTGTTGGAGGGGGAAACCCTAGATTTGACCGTGGCGCTGGTTCGCTGTTCGCTGCTGTGCTGTAAACTGATCATTCATCCAGCGTACCGCACGTGATGGGATGGGATGCGGGCGACTACGATGCGGTAACCAGCGCTTGCGACATGAAATGACAGCTGCGCAGGTATGAGGACCACGTAATTTTTGGTGCGAAAGATGAAGGATAGATTTGAGGGCACGTGAATTTGACGGATGCTGCAGCAGCAACCCCGAGTTCTAGATCTTCCTGGAAGCACACAGCATAGATTGTACAGCATGTACAGTGCATATTTTTACGGCTGCGATTTGTTGAACTTTTGTTTCTGTCCACACACCAGTCAACAGCTGATTTTTTTTTTCCGAAGACCAGCTGTGCTGTGCTGTGGTCTGCGTGCAGTCCAACAAGAGCATCGCATTCTTAGGTGTACTGTTTACGAAATTAACGCACAAAAGGTGAAACCAAGTCCCAGATTCCCTCTCTCACAAGGGGGACCATTCGGGTGCGGGAGGCATCGGGACCGTCCGTTACACTGGGGTCTCTCGTCCGTCGCCACGGCCGAGAGGCGGAGCTACGAAGGTTGTGCGTCCGTCGTCCGTTGCCGCACAACGCTGACGACGTTCAGAGCGGTTTCGCAGTCAGGTTTGGGTTCCTCCGAACCGAACTCGTTCGACTTTCAGAACCCCAACCAGCCGTGAAGTCCGACAAAGTAGTTAAACGCATTGAAACTCACTGCATCGCACTGAATGGCTTTTCTCGATCAAATGTGTTGAGAGGCGCGATACACTCGTTTCAATCCCTTCACCAACTAACATACCCGATACAGGTTGCTGGATGGTTCGCATTCGTGAATGTGTTGTAACGAGAATGCAGAATTTAAACGAATTTGAATGATTTCGACCATTCACACACACGTGCGGATCCCAACCCAGCCGCAATGGCTTGGCTGACGTGGCTGGTGCTACTACCGTTAGCGCAATTAGCGGGCGTCGCCGAAGCGAGTAACCCGCTCGCCAGTCAGGAACACGAAGCCAGAGCCCAGGCGCTATTCAACGTGAGTGTCTTGGTATATGAGTCAACTATCAAGTCTCTATTTCACTCAGCGTGCGTGACTGACTTGGCATTTTGACTGATAACTTGACCCGCCTCTCAGAATCGTCCTTCTCGAACTCCCCTTCCCTTCCGCTATAATCAACACCAGGCATGGTCACAAGCGTACGGCCTCGAAAATACCTCCACCCTCCTCCCCCCTGCGCCGCTCGTCCTTCCCCCCAACGTTCCCCCTCCGCCCCACCTCGAAGACTGCTCCGCGCGCACCGCTGCGCGCCAGGTGGCGGAAGAGCGGAAGGAGGGCGGAATCCTCCCCGCGTGGGCGCGCGGGGAGTCTGGGGAGTGCTGCGGAGGCAGCGACGGGGATGCGGGGAACGGGGACAAGGGCGAGAGCGGGGGGAGCGGAGGAAGCGGGGGGGGCGGGGATGATGGGAAGGGGTGTTGTAAGTGCGGGCCCCAGCCACCCTGGGTGAGTGGGTGGGAGAAGGGTGCATGCATGGGTGGGTGGGATGGGTGGGAGCTCCCTTTCCCCTGCACCCTTCCCCCTGATCTCTTTCCCCCTGATCTCTTTTTCCCTTGCCCCCTTCCCCCCTGCTCCCTTCCCCCTGTTCTCATCCCTCCCTCCCTCCCTCATCCCTCCCTCCTTATCCAGATACGAGGCTCCGATGCGGCCAATCTCGCGATGACACGTGGCGCGCAGCGCGACATCTGGCAGCACCAGTTCCCCGCCAGCTGTGCCGGGCGGCGGCTGATGCTGTCGCGCTGGCCGGGGTTGCACCACGGCATGGGCAGCATGGTGCATGTGGTGGGGGCGTATCTCAGCATTGCCATGCGCAGTAATCGCACTCTCGTGCTCATGCCAGGGACCTTTGAGCGAGCCGGGCGCGAGTGTGAAGGTGAATGGGAGGAGAATGTGGCCGCCCCTTCAAACCACACCACACCACACCACACCACACCACACCACACCACACCACACCACGCCACACCACACCACACCACACCACGCCACACCACACCACACCACACCACACCACACCACGCCACACCTCACCACACCACACCACACCACACCACACCACACCACACCACGCCACACCTCACCACACCACACCACACCACACCACACCACACACCACACCACACCACACCACACCACACCACGCCACGCCACACCTCACCACACCACACCACACCACACCACACCACACCACGCCACACCACACGTCCATCCCGCACTCCACCTCCCACCTACCACCTCGCCCAATACGCACGCGACTAGTTGGAAGGTTAGGAATCCCAGGCTACATTACGGCATGGACAAGAGAGGAATCCCCTTGTAAATATTCCACCTGCCTCTGTGATAAAAACTGGGGACACGCAGGCCACCATGGTGGCCTTTCGAGACGTCTCAAAACTCGAACGAGGTCCTTTCCTTTCGAATATCCACCTGTCCTTCCTTCAACCCCAATACTTCACCCATCTCCTTCCTCTCTCTTCACAATCTCCTCCCCCCTCTCCCCCTTCCCCCACCCCCCCAAGACCTGCGCCAGGCGCAGCATTGGGAGTGCTACTTCTTTCCCATCGCACCATTCTGTTTTCTGTTTACCCCATCCCTTCCTCCTCTTCCTCCTCTTTCATCCTCTTTCCTCCCCTTCCCGCCACTCCCCTTGCACCCCCTTCCCTCTTCTCCCTCATTCCCCCCCAAGACCTGCGCCAGGCACAGCAGTGGGAGTGCTACTTCTTCCCCTTCTCACCATTTCTCTTTCTTCCGTTTCCCGTTTCCCCCGACCTTTCTTTCTTTTTCCTCCCCTTTTCCTCCCCTTTTACTCCCCTTTTCCTCCCCTTTTCCTCCCCTTTTCCTCCCCTTTCCTCTCCTCCCCCACCCCCTCAAGACCTGCACCAGGCGCAGCAGTGGGAGTGCTACTTCTTCCCCATCGCCTCCCCTGCGTGTGTGCAAGAGGCCATGGCAGCACATGAGAAAGGGGAAGCACCGGATATCCGTGGGGATGATGTGAGAGAGAGCATGCTGGCTGGCCACACGCAGGTGAGAGACTTGTGAGAGGTGAGGGCACACAGGTGAGGGAGCTGGCGACACACAGGTGAGGGAGCTGGCGACACACAGGTGAGGCACTGCTGAGAGTGTCTGGTGACTTGTGTGGGCTCTTAAAAGCCTCTGCATGCGTCCACGACGCCATGGCAGGGTATGAGAAGTTGAAGCCACCGGATATTCGTGGGGACGACGTGAGAGAGAGCATGCTGGCTGGAAACACACACTTCTAGGATTGTCAGACTCGCCTGCATGTGTGCAAGAGCCCATGGCAGTGTATGATCGAGGGGAAGGGAGGCACCAGATATCCGCTATGCCATGCTGTGCAATGCCATGCTCTGCCATGCCATGCTGTGCCATGCCACTTCATTTCGAGCCATCCCATGCCATGCGTTGTCATGCCTTTCCATGTCTTGTAATGCCATGCCATGCCATGCCTTCCCTTTCCCTGCCATGCCATGCCATGCAGGTGGTGGACCTCGCACTCTCATCCCTCTATTGGGTGGGGACGTTGATGCTGCCAAGAATTGATTAGATGCCCTTCCTTTTCCTGCCATGCCATGCCATTCCTGTTCATGCCATGCAGGTGGTGTACCTCGCACTCTCATCCCTCTATGGAGACGTCGATGCTGCCAAATCGTGAGTGAGAGAGTTCAGTCAGAGAGTTCGTACGGTCGAATACGGTTGAATATAGTTTCACCTGGTGCCAATTATTGTGATGACGATGGTAAAAATGTATAATGATACGGTTGAATATAGTACGGTTGTCAATTATCATGATAAGGAAAATGTATAATATACATTTTCCACCCTCCCATGGCAGGAGATGGGGCAAGCCATGGCTGGATCGGCCTCACACCATTCAACAGCAAAACTCCATCTCGAGCATGTACCCAGACTGGATGATGGTATGTGTGTGATGGTGGGTGGATGATGGTTTGTGTGCATCACAGGATGATGGTATGTATGTGCATAGCTTTTGAGGCGCATCAGAATCGCCCTCACACCATTCAGCAGCAAAACTCCATATCCAGCATGTACCCAGACTGGTGTGTGGGTTAGATTTGGTAACGCCCCGGAAGTTGTGTTTTCGCCTCCCGTGACTTGCCCCCAAAAGATCAGTTCATTTGGACATGCCTCAATGGATTTTGCTCGACCCACCCGCTCTTCGCTCTCTCGCCCCGCCCACCCGCCAGGCTCTCTGGTGGCGAGCGCAAGCCGCCCCCGGAAGTTGTATTTCCGCCCCCCATCCCTCTTTCCTCCCCCCCCCACTTCCCCCCCACTCCCCCCTCTCTCCCCCCTCGCTCCCCCCCACACCAGGCTCGGTGGTGGCGAGCGCAAGCCGCCCTGCCTAACGCACCCACCCTGCCCCGTACACCCACTCCCCTCTCTCTCCCCGCCCCTTCCCCCCCTTCCCACTCTCTCTCCCCTCCCCCGCCCCCCCCTTCCCCCTCTCCTTCCCCCACACCAGGCTCGGTGGTGGCGAGCTCAAGCCGTCCGTTTCTTGCTCCTCGCACCGCCTGCTCCCTCTCTCCTCCCTCACCCACCCTGCCCAACACACCCTCCCTGCCCCGCGCACCCACTCCCCTCTCTCTCCCCGGCCCTTCCCCCCCTCCCCCTTCTCTCTCCCCCCCACACCAGGCCCGGTGGTGGCGGGCTCAAGCCGCCCGTTACTTGCTCCGCTGGCCGTCCGCTCATCTCTGCCACGTCATCAACCGCGTCCGCCACGTCAGCTACGGCCGCCTCATGGCCGATCGCATGGCGGCTGTCGCTGCCCAGCAGGCGAGCATCATCGAATCGGTGAACACCATCTCGGGTGCCAGCTCAGCAGCCACGTCAGGTGCCAGCACAGCGGGCAACTCAGCAGCCACGTCAGCTACCAGCTCAGCAGCAGAAAGAGGAGATCCGCTGGATGACCTGCTGCTGCTGATTGCTGCCAAGGCGAGGGCAGCCGAGAGGGAAATCCCTGCAGCCAATGGCAGCGCGACACGTGTATGGTCGTTGCAATCAAATATCTGGCCTATGAAAGGGGTTACAGGCTGCTCAGGCATGGAAAGTGGGCAGATGAGGGAGGGGGGAAGTGCGGACTCAGGGGTGGGGAGAGAGGTGCAGATGGTGCGGCCAGTGGTGAGCATGCATGTGCGGCTGAGTGACAAAGGGTCTGAAATGGAGCTTCACCCGCTGCCGGCGTTCATGCTTGTTGCTTCAAGGTTAAGAGCGCACCAGCCAGATCTGAAGCACGTTTGGCTGAGCACAGAAGTGCAGGTGAGAGGAGGAGAGTCAAGTGGGAGAAGTCTTAAGACGGATGTGCATGTGAGGTGATGGAGAGGAGAGAGGTAGAGTGGGGAAGTGATGGAAGCAAGTGATGCATGGATTGGGGAAGCCAGTTCATCTCCCAATTCTTTGATTGCGAATTTCTCTTTGTGTTTGTTTGTGTTTCCATTTGTGTACCGTTCTACGACTCCCTTTGTCAACCTGCTAACAGTCTTCTTCCCCCGTCTCCCGGCTCCTCCCCATTCTCCACCTTCCAAATTCCCAGTCTGTAATTGACGAGACAAGCGATTATCCCGGCTGGACGTTTTTCTACACCAACGCCTCCAGAGTGCAGAGTGCGCAGCAAATGAAAGATGAGCAGGAACATGCCCAGCAACCAATAGCGAACATTTTTGCCAATTTGCTCATTACTGCAGAATGCGATTATTTTATTGGGTCATTGGGATCGAATTGGAACAGGCTTATAGATGAACTGCGCAGTACAAATGGGAGGCTGTACTCGGGCCTAGTCTCTTTTACATTCGGAATGTAGCAGTTAACGTTTCCCTTTCAATAAGAGCTTACACTACAACACTGTAGATGTGCCCAGGCATGACTTGCCTGTTAGAGGGCCCTACGACAGCAAGGGCCCTCGCGAAATGTTAGACTTGGCAGGTTGACGACCGACGACCTGGTCTACTCGGCACCGTCGCACAGGTTCGATGGCAGTCAAGTGTGACTACGGGTGAATGCGAGCTGCAGTAAGGAATCTGCTGAAGTCGGTGCTGGGAAGTAGAGTCGTGGGAGTCTTTGTGTGCTTCCTTATGAGGCACGCCACTCCCAAGCTGAGTCGGATGGAGTTGCGTGCTCGGAAGGTTTTCGCTGCTGAGTTGGATGGAAGTTTGGCGGGGCGCGTTCGCCAACTCCCACAGCACTTTCGTGTGGGTTGGGTTACTCGCAGCGCCCTCGCTACCTTTTGTGAACGCTTGCTTGCCTTTATATGTTTGTGTTTGCTTGTGTGTTTCATATATTCTATTTTCCTAGTGAAGTCCAATCTCTACTCAAATTCTCACTTAGTCATTTGAGACCAACGCTACCCAAACGCTACCGAATTCCTAGCGCAACATCATTCCCATAAGCAGAATCTCTCTCGCCGTCGTAGTGCTCTCCATAATATTCCTTCATGGTGCGGTGAGCGTGGAACGAACACGCATAGAATTCCGTCGTCGACTTTCTTAGCGTTCGTAAACTCGCCTTGGCGTGCGGCGTTAGTGAAGGGCGCATATTAAATTAAGTTGAACCTCTCTTAATTTCCCTCCAGTTACGTTCTCGGACCCAAGGATAGGGCGTTTGGTAATTTATTACCACTCGTCTGAGGACCCTTGTGAGGTGACCCCGAGACGAGGGATTTAAGGAAGGAACAATTTATTTTAATTTGTGGCACCTTATCGAGGCGTCGTAGAGGATGAGTTCGGAGGAGGCGGACGTTGAGGCCGTTAATTTTCGCGCACTAGAGGAGGAGCTCGTGGCACGTCGTTCCCGTGGCGAGCTTAGTAATGTAGATTACGAGCTCATGTTGGAGGGATTACGCTCTCGTCAGCGTCGCGATCATCCCTCGCCACATGTAGAGCAAGCTGCGGGAGGCACTAGTGCGTGGGACATGGCTGTCAATGACGGAGGTGACGATGACGAGGAGGTTGATGGGTTGATGTCGCGTGGGGTCCTGCGAGGACCAACTCGGTTTAGTACGACTAGCGTCGGCGGTGTACAGGAGCGTGTTCATCGTGCGGCGGCGTCACACGAGCGTACGAACTTAGGACGACAGAGCGCTGCTGGAGGAGGGAATGCGGAGGAGTACGATAGTGGAGCTATGCCGGGCATTACCCCGATTGGATCGATGTCGAGGGATGAGGGAATAGCCCCCAACTATGGCTACTTCAAATTCACTCCAGACAGAATCGTCGTGCCTAAGCCGCTCGAAGGACGCCACGACCTATCGACGTGGGTAGAATCGATCGAGCCGCAGCTTGAGATCGCTCAACTAAAGCGATTCATTGACGGTACCACTCCTATTCCACCAACGCAGGCAGTTGCGCATCTCACTCAGTTCCGCGCAATGCAGTTACTGACGTTCACCACGATTTCCCGATGCTGCTCCCCAACCGTACAGATTGCCCTTAAGGGGTGTCGCATGAAGGTAGATGCCGGCTATCAGGCATGGCAGTTTATTATGCGCACGTACATGGCGAAGGACGATCTGTACATCGGTCAGTTAGAGCAGGCGCTCACTAACCTCGAGATGGGTGAGCACGAGTCCGCTACGTCCTATTGCAACCGTGCGCAGCAGATCCTAGTGAACCTGAGGATGGCCGGCGTCGATTACTCGCAGGCGTCGTACATTACTCACGTCGTGAAGGGGTTGCCGCAGCAGTACAACCTCTTACGCAGGATGCTGAAGCTGCCGCAGGTACGCAAGGAGTTGGACGAGGACACCCTCGCTAGCTACATTATCGAGGAGGAGTGTACGCTGGCAGCGGAGGGACGGAAGGACCAATTTCTTCCCCAGGCCAACCAGGTCTTTACCAAGAAGGGTAAGCCCCAATCCCAGCAGACTTCATCCCCTTCCCCTCCCACTACGGCACAGCAGCAGCAGCCTAAGACTGGGGGTGGGGTTGGAGGTGGAGGAGAGAAGTGGAAAGGGGCTAAGGATGGTCCGCCAAAGGGGGGGAAAGGTGGCTTCAAGGGGAAGTGCTACGTGTGTGGACAGACAGGGCATGTTGCTAAGTACTGTCAGCAGCGGGCGGATAAGGAGGCAGACACGGGTGGAGAGGGTTCTGGAGGCAGCGGCGCGAGTGGCAAGGGGGACGATGGCTCTAAGGGGAGCAGGCAGTCATCATGTGCGATGGTGAAGCCCGTTGTAGAGCAGACTCCTCTTGTCGTGCTGGAGCCTGAGGCCGGGGAGGGCTTACAGGCTCTTGCAGCTGCTGTGAAGGCGAACCCGAGCGTCGTGCTACTTGATAGTGGATGCTCCCACCATCTCATGGGAGATCGTTCTGCCTTTGTGGAGATGAGCAGCGGCGGTAGTATCAAACAAGTGAAAGGCTTCAACGGCGCGCTTCAGGACGTGCAGGGGCGAGGCACAGTCGCTCTTCTTGGAGAAGGGGGCAGGCGTCTCTTGGTGTCTGACGTGCTGTACGTACCTGGAGTGCAGGCGAGTCTTCTTTCTGCTGGGCAGCTGCGTGATAGTGGTGTGCAACTGCTGGATGCAGGCGACGTGACTCTGCTGCGGGCACCAGATGGGTCACTTCTTGGGCGTGCAGAGTACAAGGGGCGTGTTCTCTGCACGAACTTCCAACCGTGTTTGTCGCAGCAGCAGGAAGGCGAAACGGTGGCACTTCGTACCTTGACGACGGGCGTGCGGTCTAAGGTGGACATGTGGCATGCGCGTATGGCACACGTTGGTATTGATGCCATCGAGCGCACTGCGTCTCACGGGTCAGTGAAGGGCTTGGACCTGGAGAAGGGGGGCAAATCAGGCATACCGTGTGTCTCCTGTGTTGGGGGGAAGATCACTCGTCATACCTTCCCGCCAGTGGGTGCGGAGGAGGATGAGTTGCTTGGGGTGGTGCATGCTGACCTGTGTGGCCCTTTCCGTGAAACAGCTAAGGACGGCAGCCGCTACTTCCTGGTGCTGAAGGATCGCAAGTCGCGGTACGTCTGGGCCTACCCTTTGGCTCAGAAGAGTGATGCGCTGGCGGCGTTTCAGAAGTGGCTCCCGATGGCAGAGCGGCAGTGCAAGACCACGGTGCAGGCGCTGCGCACTGATCGGGGTGGCGAGTTCCTGGGGCATGACTTCACGCTCTTCCTCGACGGCAAAGGCATCATCCATGACCTCACGTGCCCGTACACGCCGGAGCAGAACGGGATGGCCGAGAGGGAGATGCGCAGCATTGTGGAGGCGGTGCGGACGATGCTACTGCACATGGGTGTACAGCATCATTGGTGGCACCTGGCGTTGGCGCAGGCCGTCTGGGTGCGCAACCGCGTGGAGCACGCCTCGCTGCCCTCTGGTGTGACGCCGTACGAGCTCGCCTTTCGACACAAACCCGATGTCAGTATGGTGCGGGTATGGGGCTGCATGGTGCAGTACATGTTGCCTCAGTCGCAGCGTGGGGGGAAGCTGGCACCTAAGGCTCGCTGGGGGTTGCACTTGGGGGTGTCCGCAGCGAGCAAGGGCTGGACCGTGCTGGACTTGGAGTCCAACCGCCTCATCACCACTGTGGAAGCTGTGTTCTATGAGACCATGTCCTTGGCAGGATGGAAGGCGTGGCATCGGCAAGAGCATGGGGGGCGTCCAATGCCCTATGAGCCCCTTCCCTCTCACTTCCCGATCACTCTTGAGGAGGCGGTGGAGGAGGAGGAGGTGGTCGCACCTCCTGCTATGCCCTATGTCCCTACCTCGGTCCCCACCCCACCTCCGCCTTCAGTTTACCCTCGTGTGGTTCCCCCTGCCCCACCTTCTTCATCCTCACCCCCCTTGGCTTCCCCTCCTCCTCCTGTTATTCCCTCTCCCCTTCCACCCTCCATCCCTCCTGCACCTGCTCCACCCTCCTCTTCATCTTCCACGGCGCCGCCCGTTGGTGAGGGGGGGATCGTGGTGCCACCGTCTGTGGAGATCACCGACGGGCAGCGCCTTGAGACTGAGCAGCTGCAGGACGAGAGCAGCATGGATGGAGTACAGCAGAGTGGGGGGCAGGAGATAGGGGAGCAGCAGTTAGGGGAGCAGCAGAGTGGGGAGCAGCAGATAGGGGAGGAACAGATTGAGGAGCAGCAGATGGTGGACCAGCAGCTAGGGGAGCAGCAGACAGGGGAGCCGCAGACAGGGGAGCAGGAGCTGTGGGGAATCAGAGATGGTGGTCGTGTGTTGGCTTCTGGGACGATCACTGCGCCACTGCGTCGCTCCACTCGCATCACCCGTGGTATCCCGCCTCTTAAGTATGCTTGGGCTTTAGTGATTGAGCCGGCGGGATTGGATGACGAGGAGGAGGACGAAGAGTGGACGGACCTGGACCCTGACGTGGTGGCTGACCCTGAGAGGCAGTGGGATATAGCGAAGATGACAGTGAAGGAGGCCTTGGGCTGCTGGAAGGGCGACAAGGTGAAGGAGGCGATGGATGAGGAGATGCGGAGCTTGATTGAGCAGGGGACGTGGGAGTTGGTTCCGCGTCCGCCAGGGGTGAATGTGATGAAGAACCGCTGGATCCTGAACACCAAGTTCCGACCTGATGGGGTAGTGGAGCGTGAGAAGGCGCGGCTGGTGGTGAAGGGGTTCACGCAGGTGGCAGGGGTGGACTATGAGGAGACGTACGCCCCCGTGGGAAGCTATGTGACGGCGCGCGTACTTCTGGCGATCGCAGCTGCACTTGACTTGGAGCTGATGCAGCTAGATGTGAAGAATGCGTTCCTCCATGGCGTGCTGGACCGAGACCTGTACATGGAGCAGCCGAGCTACTACGAGGATGGGACTCCTCGTGTCTGTAAGTTGTTGAAGAGTCTGTATGGCCTCAAGCAAAGCCCGATGCTGTGGTATGAGGCCTTGGATGGGGTGCTGCTTGGGGCTGGATGGAAGAAGAGCAAAGTGGATGAGGCTTTGTACTTCAAGAGTGATGCTGACGGGGAGATGTGCTGGCTGCTGGTGTATGTGGATGATTTGCTTGCTGCCAGCCGCAGTCAGAGCATGCTGGGGGAGCTACGTGAGCTGCTGCAGAGTGCGTTTCAGCTGCGGGAGATTAGCCCTGTGGAGAAGTACCTGGGGCTGCAGCTGATTCGGGACAGGCCTACGAGGAGGCTGTGGCTGCACCAGGGGGCCTACGTGGACAAGGTCCATAGGCGCTTCTTCGACGGGGAGCAGCCGCTGCGAGTGCCTCGCACCCCCCTTTCCTCTGACCCTTTCAGTGTGCAGACCTTTGAGGATGCGGGATGGCAGTCTCGCCAGGAGGAGGAGTACAGGCAGAAGGTGGGATCCTTGCAGTTCGCAGCCTGTACCACTCGTCCCGACATCTCCTTTGCCTGCAGCAAGCTGGGGTCGGGCCAGACAGTGCGGAGTGACCAGCACTGGAAGGAGTTGGACCGGTGCTTGGCGTACTTGGTGGGGAGCAGGGATGTTGCGCTGGAGTTTGGTGGTGGGCCTGAGTCCTTGGAGCTGGTGGGCTATGCCGATGCGGATGATGCGGGAGACAAGCAGAACAGGACTAGCACTGGTGGCTATGTCTTCGTGCTCGGAGGTGCTGCTGTCTCGTGGGCGAGCCAGAGGATTCGTTGCGCCACCCTCTCTTCCACTGAGTCTGAGTACGTTGCTGCTGTGGAGGCGGGGAAGGAGGCGCGTCGGCTGCGCTTCCTGCTGGCAGAGTTTCAACTGCTGAGGAGTGAGGTTCCCACTACTCTCTTTGTGGACAACTCCTCCGCCATTTCAGTGGCAGGTGGCATGGGGCTCAAGGGGAGCCTCAAGCACATGGAGCGTCGTCACATGTGGCTGCAGCACATGGTCAAGCGCAGGAAGCTGCAGCTGCAGTACATCCCTACGAGCGAGCAGCCTGCTGACTACCTTACCAAGGCATTGCATTTCCCCGCCTTCAGTCGTTGCTTCGAGGCTGTGGGGCAGGTGAGGCTCTCGAGCGAGGGGAGTGAGACCTAGACACTCCGTGATGTGGATGGTGCCATGGCCTATCCATGGCTGGTGCGGTGCGTGTTTGCACTTTGAGAGTGCTTCGTTTGTGTGTGTTTCCCTTTGTTTGGTGTGTATGTGTTTATGCATGCCCTGTGATTATAAAGGGCCTTGCTGTAGTATGGCAGGGGAGTGTTAGAGGGCCCTACGACAGCAAGGGCCCTCGCGAAATGTTAGACTTGGCAGGTTGACGACCGACGACCTGGTCTACTCGGCACCGTCGCACAGGTTCGATGGCAGTCAAGTGTGACTACGGGTGAATGCGAGCTGCAGTAAGGAATCTGCTGAAGTCGGTGCTGGGAAGTAGAGTCGTGGGAGTCTTTGTGTGCTTCCTTATGAGGCACGCCACTCCCAAGCTGAGTCGGATGGAGTTGCGTGCTCGGAAGGTTTTCGCTGCTGAGTTGGATGGAAGTTTGGCGGGGCGCGTTCGCCAACTCCCACAGCACTTTCGTGTGGGTTGGGTTACTCGCAGCGCCCTCGCTACCTTTTGTGAACGCTTGCTTGCCTTTATATGTTTGTGTTTGCTTGTGTGTTTCATATATTCTATTTTCCTAGTGAAGTCCAATCTCTACTCAAATTCTCACTTAGTCATTTGAGACCAACGCTACCCAAACGCTACCGAATTCCTAGCGCAACATCATTCCCATAAGCAGAATCTCTCTCGCCGTCGTAGTGCTCTCCATAATATTCCTTCATTGCCAGCAGCTTATGGGGTACGGTGGGATAGAAAGCATCACTAGGGAAACGAGCAGAAGGGGGGCCTGCATAGGTGCCCAAATGAAAATTCTCAGGAGTAGCATTCCAAACTGATTTTATTCCCAAACGTTTCTTTTCCCGGGCAGGAATAACTCAAGGGCAAAATCCCTCAAAACCGTTAATCTCCAATCGTCCTATTCACAAACTCAAGAAGGAACCACGACTCACACAAGCTAGGAGGAGTGGGAGGAAGGGCAGCTGAGGTTGCCGCAGCTGTTGGCATGAAAAGAAGAGTGACGGAATCAGCGAGCGCGCCAAATGGGAGTTCGACTGTTTGCTCACACTGCTTTCATCCCGATAATTTCTATTTCCCAGGCTAGGAGGAGCAGAAGGACGGACGGTGGAGGCCGCCGAAGCTGTTGGCGCGGTTGAGAAGGGTGAAGGAATCAGCGAGCACGCCTGATCCCTGGTGGTTGCGGTACCTGCGCAGGGGCAAACGGACAGAGTGAAGAAACAAGGGGTGATCGGTAGGGCGTGAGAACAAGTGGGAGTGGTTAAGGGGAAGGGTGAAGGAATCCGCGACCACACCTGATCCCTGGTGGTTGCGGTACCTGCGCAGACCAAGTCAGCATGCCGAAAAGTCAGGTTGTGAGAACATGGTTGAAGTTAGAGAAAAAGGGAGAAGAGCAAAAGGTCAAGTCAGCATGCCGAAAAGGACTCCTCACAAGAAGCGCTGTATGATGGTTAAAGCTCGAAACATGCGTAAGTACTGGTTTACGCACCAGCTGTAGGTGGCGGTGCGGTTGTCATTGAAAATCAGCTCTGCATGGTGTTAGCAGATCAGAGGGTTGTGTTTGAACGTGGTTACCAAAAAGCAGCAGTGCAGAGGGGGGGGAAGGAAGTGCAGAGGGGGGGGAAGGAAGTGCAGAGGGGGGGGAAGGAAGTGCAGAGGGGGGGGAAGGAAGTGCAGAGGGGGGGGAAGGAAGTGCAGAGGGGGGGGAAGGAAGTGCAGAGGGGGGGGAAGGAAGTGCAGAGGGGGGGGAAGGAAGTGCAGAGGGGGGGGAAGGAAGTGCAGAGGGGGGGGAAGGAAGTGCAGAGGGGGGGGAAGGAAGTGCAGAGGGGGGGGAAGGAAGTGCAGAGGGGGGGGAAGGAAGTGCAGAGGGGGGGGAAGGAAGTGCAGAGGGGGGGAAGGAAGTGCAGAGGGGGGGGAAGGAAGTGCAGAGGGGGGGGAAGGAAGTGCAGAGGGGGGGAAGGAAGTGGGGAAGGAAGTGCAGAGGGGGGGGAAGGAAGTGCACCAGCTGTAGGTGGCGGTGTGGTTGTCGTTGAAAACGAGCTCTGCATGCCCGAAAGATTCCTCACGGTATGCGCTGTACGACGGCTGTGGCTCAAGGAACCTGCAGAGGACAATGAAGAAAGGAATGTATATACATATGTGTATATATATGTATATGTATATGTACATTTACATATATATGGCACTTAAGAAGAATGTACTATTGACACCGGGTCAGGGGTGTCAGAGGCGTCAGAGGTGTAAGGTTGACTCATTTTTTAAAAATCTCACAATTTCACTTCTGAATCCTCTTCAGGCCACACAATTTCCTCTGTCGGAGGTAGCTGCACTCGTATATGCAGAGCACTCACGGGCCAGCAATTTCCTCGATGTTGCCGCCGTCACCAACAGTCACATGCACGGCGGCACACCCGTTGTCCATCCTCTTCATCCCGAACACGGGGTAGCTGCGCTCGTATGCATGCACGTGAAAGCGTGCCCAAGTTCTCTTTTTGGGGCGCCTCAAAAGCATGCCCATGCTCTCACGTGACTTGCCACCAGATCCACCCACCAGAATAGAAGCGGACACTAACAAAGAGAGCACTCACGGGCCAGCGATTTCCTCAATGTTGCCGCCATCACCGACCGTGACATGCACGGCAGCACACCCGTTCTCCATCCTCTTCATCCCGTACACGGGGTAGCTGCGCTTGTATGCATGCACGTGCATGTGCATGTGCATTTGCATGTGCATGTGCATGTGCATGTGCATGTGCATGTGCATGTGGCCGAGTGAAGAAGGGAACTCACGGGCCAGCAATTTCTTCAATATTGCCGCCATCACCGACCGTGACATGCACGGCAGCACACCCGTTCTCCATCCTCTTCATCCCATACACCGGGTAGCTGCGCTCGTATGCATGCACGTGCCCGCTTGCCACCAAATCAACTCCCGCCTCGTGCAACCACTCCTCTATCTCGTACCGCATCGGCTCGCCCTGATAGTAGAGTGGATAGGGAAAGGGAACAGGGGAGAGGAGGATGGGGTATCTGCGCTCGTATGCATGCACGTGACCACTCGCCACCAGATCCACCCCTGCCTCGTGCAACCACTCCTCAATCTCGTATCGCATCGGCTCGCCCTGCGAGGAAGAGAAGTAGGGAAGGAAAAGCGAAAGCGAGAGCTCCTCTTCATCCCATACACGGGGTAGCTGCGCTCGTACGCATGCACGTGGCCACTCGCCACCAGATCCACCTGTGCCTCGTGCAACCACTCCTCTATCTCATACCGCATGGGCTCGCCCTGAAAGGAGGTGGAAGGGTATGGGTAAGCAGAGGGACGGTGGGATAGCTCCTCTCAGACACACAGGGGGACGGGGTAGCTGCGCTTGTATGCATGCACATGACCACACGCCACTAAATCCATACCCGCCTCGTGCAACCACTCTTCTATCTCGTACCGCATGGGCTCGCCCTGAGAAGAAAAGGATAGGTGGTCAAAGGGGAACAGGGGAGGCGGCTGGAACAGAAATCTTCACACACACACACCGAACCGAGAAGTCAGCTCTGCACTTAAGGAAGCTGTTAGCTACAATTGTCCCATGCAGATAGTATATGCAGCTGTCATGTTCACATGCCCCTGCCACAACCATACCTCCAAGTAGTGCCCGTCGTTGCTGTTGTAGAGAGGCACGTGCATGAATGCCAGCACCCACTTCACAGTGCCACCACTTGTGGTTGATCGCTCAATCCAGCTGTCACATGCGCTGCACCTGCCTCATACTCCTGTTTCATCCAACTGCCACAGCCGTACCTCCAGGTAGTGCCCGTCGTTGCTGTTGTAGAGAGGCACGTGCATGAATGCCACGACCCACGGGGTTTTGTTGCGATCGATATGGCACAGGTCGTCCCGCAGCCAGTACCACTGTGCCACAATTGGAGACGGGGACAAGCAGGAGGGAGGGGGGGAGAGGGGGAAGAAAACAACTTTTGAGGCACGTGCTTAAACGCCACAACCTATGGGGTGTTGTTGCAGTCGATATGGCACAGGTCGTCCCGCAGCCAGTACCACTGCGATGATTCCATACAAGAAGAAGCAAGAGGGGTGGGGCTAAGGGGGGGACAATTAGCTCTTGAGGCGCTTCGACACTCAATAGTCGATATGGCACAGGTCGTCCCGCAACCAGTACCACTGTGCCACGTGGCATGGGGAAAACAAGATACACAAGAAAAGATCAGCCTCACAAGTACGCGGCACAGGTTGCCCTGCAGCCAGTACCACTGTGCCACGTGGCATGGGGGAAACAAGATGCACAAGAAAATAATCAGTATGAATCGAATCAAATGACCTTAGCTTAACTGGCTATGCACACCCCAGACCTATTTCACGAGTGTAGACCTCCACCTTACCCCACCGCACCGCACCACATCCCATCCCGCCCCACCTCACCACACCACACCACATGCCACACCACGCCACGCCACACAGAACCAAACCGCACAGCACCAACCCATACTGCACCACACCACACCACACCAGACCGCACTACCTGGTGCGTGTAGATGATGAAGGGCGAGTAGGAATTGATGGCGATCACATGCACGGGGCCGATATCAAGGGAGTAGAAGAGCGACCAGTTACCACAACACAACACACCCCACTGCACCGTACCACACCACACCACACCATACCACACCACACCACACCACACCACATCACACCGCACAGCACCACACTGCACCATCCCATACTACCTGGTGCGTGTAGATGACGAAGGGCGAGTATGAGTTGATGGCGATCACATGCACGGGGCCGATATCAAGGGAGTAGAAGAGAGGCCAGTTACCACAACACAACACACCACAGTGCACCGTACCACACCACACCACACCACACCATACCACACCACACCACACCACACCACATCACACCGCACAGCACCACACTGCACCATCCCACACTACCTGGTGCGTGTAGATGATGAAGGGAGAGTAGGAGTTGATGGCGATCACATGCACGGGGCCGATATCAAGGGAGTAGAAGAGCGGTGCTTTGGATGGGTACGCATGGTGGTGGTGGTGGTGATGGTGGTTGGGATCGATTCCGGCCTGATACAACAAGGGGATGAAGCAAGGAATGGGAGAATGAGGGGGGCACATGCACGGGGCCGATATCAAGGGAGTAGAAGAGCGGTGCTTTGGATGGGTACGCATGTGGTGGTGGTGGTGATGGTGGTTGGGATCGATTCCGGCCTGATACAACAAGGGATGAAGCAAGGAATGGGAGAATGAGGGGGGCACATGCACGGGGCCGATATCAAGGGAGTAGAAGAGCGGTGCTTTGGATGGGTACGCATGGTGGTGGTGGTGGTGATGGTGGTTGGGATCGATTCCGGCCTGATACAACAAGGGGATGAAGCAAGGAATGGGAGAATGAGGGGGGCACATGCACATGGCCGATATCAAGGGAGTAGAAGAGTGATGCTTTTGATGGGTACGCATGGTGGTGATGGTGATGGTGGTTGGGAGAAATTCCCGCCTGATATCACAAGGGGATGAAGCAAGGAATGAAAGCACGAGGTGAACGCATAGAGGGCAAAGATTTCCAAGGAGTAGAAGCACGGTGCGACGAGTAGTGGTGGCGGTGGCGGCAGCAGCGACGGTGGTGGTGGCGGTGGCGGCGGCGGCGGCGGCGGCGGCGGCGGCGGTGGTGGTGGTGGTGGTGGTGGTGGCGGTGGTGGTGGTGGCGGTGGTTTTGCAATTGTTGAAGTGCACAAGACACACAATTCCCAATCCATACGCACCTTTGCCTGCAGGCTCGCCAGCAGCGGGTGGTGGTGGTGCAGGGGAGAGGGGATGCGCGCAGAATACACCTTGAACGGGCTTTACTGGTTGCAAAAAACGCCTCCAAACTGAAGCACCTCGTAATCTTCACCTTGGCCAGCAGGCTCGCGAGCAGCGGGTGGTGGTGGTGCAGAAGAGGGGGGATGCGCGCAGAATACACCTTGAATGGACGCAGCTCGCCCCACCTCGGCACGAGCTCGATCTCATGGTTCCCTGGCACGTGAGCTACAGGCTGTGTGGAGGCAACGAGGAGAGAAGGTACAGAGGAGACACCATAAAAATGGTTTGTTTGTTTGTGTGTGTGAGTGTGTGTGTGTGTGTGTGTGTGTGTGTGTGTGTGTGTGTGTGTGTGTGTGTGTGTTTTTTGTTTGTTTGTTTGTTTGTTTGTTTGTTTTTTTTTTTTGTTTTTTTTTTGTTTTTGTTTTTTTTTTGTTTTGTTTTGTTTTTTTTTTTTTAACATGTGGCAGCAGCAGGCGAGGACAGCAGCGTTGAAGATCTTTGCATCAAAGAAATACGGCTGGAAATTCGTTATGAACAAGAAAGAAAGAAAGAAAGAAAGAAAGAAAGAAAGAAAGAAAGAAAGAAAGAAAGAAAGAAAGAAAGAAAGAAAGAAAGAAAGAAAGAAAAAAAGGCACAAGATGCACCAAAGCTCGCGCCCGCAGAAGCACTTACGATATGGGCGAATACTTTCTCAGACAAGCGGCCGTAGGAGTCCCACCGCACTCCGCCCAGCCCACATATCTTGCCCTTCCTCTCGCGCTCCATCTCGCTCTCGCTTCCTCCAAGAGACTCAGGAGAATCAGCCTCGGGGAGGGATTGATCTGAGTCCACAGGGGTGCAGTGCGGTGGGCCGTACTTATCGGCGTAGCTCAGGTCCCCCGCGAACAGCACAAGACTAGGGCTGCCTGCCTTTACGTTATCAAACGTGGTGCTGCTGTTGAGCGTCTGACCCACATCGCCTGGCGGATAGGGGCAATGGAGACCAAGGGGAGGAGGGGAGGAGCGTACAGCATGAGAACAGCACCAGGCTGGGCTGCCTGCAATCACGTTGTTGAATGTGGTGCTGCTGTTGAGCGTCTGACCCACACCGCCTGGAAGAGGCCATGTGGACCATGAGGACCGAGAGGAGGACGAGGGGAAGAGGGGAAGAGGGGGCGGGAAGCGGGGAGAGCATTCAGCAGCAGATGCTAGGACAGAAGTAGTGCGTGGTGGAGAGGAGAGGAGAGAGGTGGATGGAGACAGTCAAGTGGAGGACGCAAAAGGGCCCCCATAATATGAATGCACTCACCCACGAGTGCGACTTTGAAGGGGTAAGCAGAGCCAGGGGCCGGCAGCGAGGTGAAGGAGTGGGTGGTGGGGGAACCCTCGATTCGGTAGTAGTAGCGTGTGGAGGGGAGGAGAGGGCCGATGGGGATGAAGAAGGTATCTCCCGATACGTATGCTCCGTCTGTGCCCCCTGCAAAGGCATAGCGGAAGGAACGACCACTGATAGTGGCAGCAGTTGGAGGAAGGGAGAGGGAAGGTAAGGAAGGAGAGAACATGAATTTATGGGGATGAAGAATGTCTCTCCCAACACGTACGCTCCATCTGTGCCCTCTGCAAAAAGTGTAGTGGAAGAAATGACCACTGGTGGCGGCAGCGGGGAGGAAATAAGAGGAGGGGGGGGGGGGGAAGGGGGAAGGGAGGAAGGGAAGGAGGGTCTTAGATTGGACTTATTCACTTATTGCGCAGAGTGCTTGCACCTGCACATTGCACCCTCCCATTTCAGGTGTACGCTTTGAACATGCCGCACCTGACCGACTGGTTGAGGGCGTTTGGGTCCGTGCCATAGAGCACAGAGTGCTTGCGCCTGCACTTGCTCTCCCCCATCCCGCCTTCCACCAACCCCTCCTCTCCCTCCCCCCCCTCCTCCCCCTCCTTCGCCTCCTCTCCCTCGTCCTCCTCGTCCTTTTCCTCCTCCCCAAAACCTGCTGTCCCGACACTAGACTTGATGTCACGTCTTGCTTCTTCCCCCAGTTCTGTGAGCAGGTCGATTGGCAGCTGGTGCCTCTTCTCGCATGCGCTTAACGGCACGATGTTGGGGATGATGAATCGTACAAACATGAAGAGACCGTCAGGAGATGCTGGGGCGAGAAGCACCTGAGGAGGTGGGGGTGGAAAGGATAGAGAGAGAGAGCATAATCGCCTGCGCCTTTTCTCCTCCACGCCTGCTTTCCCTGCGCTAGGATCGATGACACGTCCTGCCTCTTCCCCCAGTTCTGTGAGCAGGTCAATTGGTAACTTGTGCCTCTTCTCACATGCGCTTAACGGCACGATGTTGGGGATGACAAATCGCACAAACATGAAGAGACCATCAGGAGATGCTGGGGCGGGAAGCACCTGAGGGTTGGGAGGGGCGGAGAGAGCATAAGCATGGGCAACTTGTGGCTCTTCTTGCATGCGGTTAACGGCACGATGTTGGGAATGATGAATCGCACAAACATGAAGAGACCGTCAGGGGAAGCAGGGGCGAGAAGAACCTGGGCGGAGAAAGGGGAGGGGGGAGGGTGGAGGGAAGGGCGAGAAGCACCTGGGGGGGTGTAGTTGGTGCCGTTCTGCTGGCGGTAGTCCAGGGGAATGTCAGGAGCCATAATATCACGAAACTTCTCAACATTCGTTTGCCAGTAACAGCCAGACTGACTTGCCAGTAAACGCTGTAGCAACCAGACCTGCTCGAGGTAGTTGGTGCCGTTCTGCTGGTGGTAGTCTAGGGGGATGTCAGGAGTCCTTCCCTGGATCCGTGTAGGTTGTGACTCAAACGGGAGAGGTAGCAGCATCCAGACACCTGACTGACCTGCTCGGGATAGTTGGTGCCGTTCTGCTGGTGGTAGTCCATGTCAGGAGCTGTTCGCTGGATCCAAGGGAGTCTACAGTGTGATTCAAACGGGAGTGCTAGTAACATGCAGAGTCAGACTGACCTGCTCGGGGTAGTTAGTGCCGTTCTGCTGGTGGTAGTCCAGGGGAATGTCAGGAGCAGTATAGGGTGACTCAAACGGGGGGCTTGCGAGGTCCGGATCAGGCACTGCACGGTACGCCACTCCCTGTGCTGTACGCACATTCAACAGGAAAACGAAGCAAAACAAAACAAAGACATAGGACATCAGTTTGTTGAAAGAGATGTGGGGAAGAAAGAAAGACGGGGGACTTCTCGCACTGCAGTTCTACAGGGGGAAGGCTTTTTATTCGGGAAAATGCTGCTTACACGGGGGTGGCTGTTTCAGCTTCAGCTTCTTCTCCTTCGTCTTCGACTGCTGAGGCTCCTGCCTCTGCTGAGAATTAATCACGTCTCTCGCAAGAAAGGAGCCGCTTCCCCTCAGTCCAATCCTGCTGCTGCCGCTGCCACTGCCGCTGCTAATGATGCTACTTTCGATGCCCAAGTCGTCATTTTCCGTTACGGCGTCTTGCTGCTGCTGCTGTTGCTGAGGCTCTGCCACGTCAGCCGACGGCAGGCGAAGGACGCCCGGAAAGAACGGCCTGGCGGAGAATCCCGCGCACGCGGTAAGGCCGGCGAGAAGCAGCAGCGGGAGGAAAGCGGCACGGATTCCCGCCATATCTCGCGCGCGGGTTGCAAGCGAAGGAGAAATGCAAGATGCGATCGATCACAAACGCGAATTCGCGGTCAGGAAAGGGCTCGCACAATGCAGCGATTTGCCGTAAGAGAGATGACAAAGCTCCCCAGCGGTTTGCAAATTCAAGAACTTGCAACAAGAAACAGTGGGTCACAGGAGAAAAAGCAGCCTGCCTGGTTTCTGTGTTGGCGAACTTCGCCTAATTGCCACCCAATGAGGTGCTTCGCTTTCTAGAGTGGTCAATAACAGTGAGAAAGGAGCTCTATGCGGTATTGAGCAGAATTGAACCTGTGGGACACCCGTTTCGCAACAGCTAGACACCTGTTTGGAACTCAGCTAGATACCCTGCTTCCGAGGGCCTAGAGAATATCGCACGTTATAGGGCACTCGCGGAAAGCTGGCGCGACCAACAAGCGAAGCATTCGATATAAACACCAAACCACGAATAGAAACTGTACCCTACAATTGAAGAATAGCTGCATGACACCTACACTGATGCAGATGAAAATAAATACTATGGCAAATCACTGGTGTTGCTGCTGTTGGTGCATACCATGCGATGCCCTCCTAGCCTGGTACTGCTGCCATGCAGATCCCGTCCCGCCTAAATCCCCACTGTTGCCGATGTTCCCACTGTTGCCTACATTACCACTTCCTCCAGATCCACGCAATTGATCATGCCCAGGCTGTTGCCAGTGCGACTGCTGCATGTACTGCTGAGGAGGAACCGGGGAACCCCCACGCCCTCCGCCTCCATACATTGAACCTGGACCGTTATTGTACCTTCCCCCAGCTCCTCCCCCCACATTGTAACTATTAGATATCGGCGCGTTACTGTAGCTTTGGTTCATGTACTGATTTGAGTGCTGCCGCTGCTCCCACTCCCCTGTAGAGAGAGTTCTTCCAATTCCCCCCAGCCCTACAGGCTGGCCCATATAATCACCACCATATCCACCACCAGTGCCATTCCCACCACCACCACCACCGCCGCTGCCACCATTGAAACCCTGAGGTCCCAGACCTGGGCCTGGTCCGGAGCCCATACCAGCTCCCGGGCCTGGCCCCGAACCTGGACCCATACCTGATCCCGAGCCTGCTACCATGCCTGGGCCCATGCCTCCTCTCATGTCCCCACGCATACCACCAGAATAACCACCACCACCACCACCAGCACCAGAAACTTGAGTTGAAGACCCATACCCACCCATACCCTCTGCCCCCTGTTCCCACCCACCCCCCATCCGCCCCCCTACTCCCCCTGCCCCCCCTCCTCCCCCTCCCCCACCCTGCCACATCTGCTGCGAGTACTGGTTAGGCTGCGGTGGGGGGTAGTGGTCGTAAGGCCTCTGGGGGTAAGAGGGGTTCTGCTGCGGTTGGGGGTGGTGGTATGGGTTCTGCTGGGAAGAGTAGGGGTACTGGCTGGGTGACTGGTGCAGGGGGGCCGTATGGGGGCCTTGCATGGGGAAGTTGTGGGGACGGTCGTGAGGAGGAATGGAGAGGGACGAGGCTCGGTGGGGGGAAACGTCTCTGCTCAGGGCGATGGGTGGGGAAGGGAAGGGAGGAGACATAGAGAGGAGAGGTGAGGACAATCATATGCTAGGGCATGCGTAGATGAGGGCATGAGGGGGGATGGAGAGGGAGGAGGCTCGGTGGGGTGAGACGTCTCTGCTTAGGGCGATGGGTGGGGAAGGGAAAGGAGGTGGAGAAGCGAGGAGGGATGAGGAGAATGATGTACTGAGAAACAAGAGGAGACAGGAAGAAGACGTTAGAAAACAAGAAAAGACAGAAAGGAGACAACAGCAAACAAGCGAAAAGGCACTAAGAGACCCTCTTACCTCTGATTCCAATGCCCCACTGGCCCTCCACCACCAAACCCATCGCCACCGCTGCGGTACCCATCCCCACCGCTGCCATACCCATCTCCACCGCTGCCATACCCATCCGCACTACTCCCCCTTGCGACCATCTGAGGAGGAGGAGGAGGAGAAAGGCCATGTGGGGCGCCATACATCCCTCCACCCCCAACCCCACCCCCACCAGCACCACCACCAGCACCACCACCAGCAGCAGCAGCACCAAACCCACCACCGCTACTGCTGCTGCCGCCACTGCCACTACCAACGCCACCCCCACCCATGCCACCATCTTGGAATAAAGGCTTTGCACGCCCGTAGCTTGAGGGTGATCGAGGGGAGGATGGCTCAGGAGATTGTCTCGATATAAGCTGATCCTGTACAGGCTGCCGCTGCTCCAGCCCACCATACTGCTGCTGCTGCTGTTGATGCTGCTGTTGCTGCTGAGGGTTCTGGTGGTGATAGGGAAGAGAACCAGAGGGAGCATATGCACCAGAATCTGGTCCAGGCGACATCTGCCTATGCCTATACCCTTCCCTCTCCCTCTCCCTCTCCCACTCCCTCTCTCGCTCCCTCTCTCGCCCCCTCTCCTGCTCCCTCTCTCGTTCTCTCTCCTGGTCATAAGATGAATACCCATCTTGCTCACCCCCAAATGATCTCCCACCACCGCTGTACGGTCGATCCCCCCCTGCTCCCCCACTCTCCTCCATGTAAGCCGCTTGGTCCGGAAGGGCCGGCATTCCATGGCTGTATGTGCGTCCTGACTCTCTGTCCGGGCGGCGGCGGGGTGGCGTGAGAGGGCCGGAGAGGGATTTAGGCTTGCTCCTAGGCGGGGATTTGACAGGGTAATTGATACTGTTATTGCTGCTGCTGCCTGTGTTTCCCACGTGTTGTAATTCATTGGATGAAGGACTGCGAGTGCGATCGAGGGGCATCTGCTGCTGCTGCTGCTGCTGCGGGTACTGATGATGAGGTGGAGGTGAGGTTCGGTTGTCCTCGCTTGGGAAAAGAGGCTCGGGATCCGAACCACCACCAGAGCCTCGGAACAACGGCTCCGGACCACCATTACCAGCCATACCACGCACACTGCCACCACCACCAGCACCACCAACAGCAGAGGCTGCAGATGGAAAAAAAGGCTCTGGATCCCTCCTACCACCGCCACCACCAGTGTCACTGCCACGAAACATAGGCTCTGGGTCACCCCTGCCACCAGCACCACTAGCACCAAACATAGGCTCTGGATCCCTCCTACCACCGCCGCCGCCACTGCCACTGCCACCAAAGAAAGGCTCTGGGTCACCCCTACCACCACCGCCACCGCCACTGCCACCAAACTGCGGCTCTGGTCCGTTTCTCGCACTACCAGCACCAACACCAGCACCACCACCAGCAGCAAAAGCCCCGCTGCCAGCACCGGTACCAGCATCGTTGCCCGCGAGATAAGCTTGTGCGTGATCTGCCATCTCTCTCAGGTCAACAGTGGGGCTGCTGCGGGTTCTAGCAGGTGGTATCACTCCTTCGCCTCCGCCCCCTCCTCCTCTTCCCGCTAGTCCATACCCACTGCTGTTTTCCCCCCTTGTGTACATATGCTGTGGACTCATCCTGCCACCCCCATTGGCCGCCAAGCCTGCTGACGAGCCTGGAAAGTAAGGAGAGCCTGCACTAAAATCACGCGCAGCCATGTCGTCTCTCCATCCGTGCCTGCCAGGTCCGGAAGGAGGACCGGAGTACATGCCAGGCCCGGATAATGCCGGACCTGAGGGAGGAGGCATGGAGGGTGAGGGCCCGGATAGAATTGGACCGGAATCACGCCAAGATGGGTGCTGCTGCTGCTGCTGCTGATAATTGAGGTGCTGTTGTTGCTGCTGCTGTTGTTGATGCTGATACTGTTGCTGTTGCTGCTGTTGCTGTTGCTGCTGTTGATGGTACGAGGGTTGCTCCCATGGGGAAGGATAGGAGGACTGGGAAGACACAGACCTGGGAGAAATTGGTTTGAGAGAGAACAGAGGGAGGGTGAAGAATGAGAATCGAGGGAGAGGGAAGAATCAGAAAGGAAAGAATAATAATAATAATAAAAAGAGCAGAGATGATCAATAAGGAAGGAGCAAGGAAGGGTGAATACCTGGTGGGAAGGAGTGAGGGGGATTAATGAGCTCACCTGGGGGAGCGAGGAGCGTCCAAATGACTCGAACTCATGCCTGCACCGCTCATGCCCATGCCTATGGGCATGGAAGTGGGGGGCGCTGGCCCTGCGACAAACACATGCTGCATGAGCTTGTGCGCGCGCAGGCGGTGGGAGGGGTTGACTGCGAGGCAGTGGCGGAGAAAATCCTTAGCGCAGTCGGAGAGATGGTTGGGGATGGGCGGGGGGGTTTGGGTGCCGCCTATTCTCAGAATAGCCGCCATCTGGGGGAGGAAGAGAAGGGGGGGAAGAGGAGAAAGGGGGAAGGCAGGAGGGGTTGACAGAGAGGCAGTGGCGGAGGAAGTCCTTAGCACAGTCGGAGAGATGGCTGGGGGGGGGGGGGAGGGGGAGGGGGGAGGGGGAGGGGGGAGGGGGTGGAGAGAGGGGAGGAAGAGAAGGAAAATGAAGAATAGGCGAGACGGGAGGCCGAGGTTGGAGGGAAGGGACGGGAGGAGGGAGGAAAGGCAGGAGCGTATGAGTGCAGCGCGAGGCACTGCCATTCCTCGCACGGCAGAGGGATGCACATGCCTAAGAGTGATGAGTGCAGTGCAAGGCAGTAGCGGAAAACGAATCTGTCATGCTGCCCTTTAAATCGACAGGGGATGCACAGGCCTAAGGAGGTGACTGTTAACATCGACCCACGAACACACTCACTTACCATGTCAGTGGGTGATGTGCCCTCGACGTCAAGCCAGGGGATGCGCAGACGCTTGTACGTGACAGCCCTAACAAAATGGCTTCTGAGTCGACTCAGAACCTTTACCCATCAGTTCGGCTTACCCCGTCAGTGGGTGACGCCCCCCAGGGCGGCTTGCCTTCGATGTCGAGCCAGGGAATGCGCAGGCGCTTGTCCACAACCTTCATGGCCATCTCAATAACAGTGCATCCCAAACTCCAGATGTCCACGGGCCAGTTGTACCCCTCCGGCCGCTTGTTGATCACCTGCAAGGAGGGGTGGGGAGGGGTGTGAAGGGGTTGAAGTAAGCAGACGCCTTTCAATGACAGTGCAGCCCAAACTCCAGATGTCCACCGGCCAGTTGTACCCCTCCGGCTTCCGGTTGATCACCTGGGAGGGGAGTGGAGGGGTGGGGAGGTGTGGGGAGGGGTGTGAAGGGATTGAGGTGATTAGACGCTTATCGACAACCCGCATGGCCATCTCAATGACGGTGCAGCCCAAACTCCAGATTTCTACTGGCCAGTTGTACCCGTCTGGCCGCCGGCTGATCACCTGGGAGGAAGGGAAGGGAAGGGGAAGTAGCAGAGAGGTGCGGAGGGGTGTGTGGAGGGGTGTGAAGGGGTTGAAGTTATCAGTTGGAAAATAAACCCGACACGCTGTACCCGTTGAAAAAAATACTCGACGCGCTGTACCAGTTTTAAAAATAAACTCAATGATCCGGCGCAAATTACTTTTTTTTATTATTATTATTTTTTTTGGGCAGCTCACCTCAGGCGCCATCCACCACACAGTGCCGCGCATGCCCGACATATCTGATGGCGTCTCCACCTGCCCATGTGCCATGCGGTGTATGGGTCAAGCGATATGGGATGTGGGAAGTTTGATGTGTCACATGTGACATGCAATACGATAGATACACATGATAAGGGGGGGAAAGGCAGGGAAAGCGGGAGAAAACTAAGGGGAAAAAGGAAACCAGAAACGGGGAGGGGGGGTGTGGGGAGAAAGGGGGGGAAGCAAGAGGAGGGAGGGGGCTGAGAGAAAGAGGGAGGGAAAGAGACAGAGAGAAGGAGGTGACTCACGTATTTCGCCACACCAAAGTCAGCAAGCTTGGCGTTTCCCTTGGTATCCAGCAGAATGTTCTTCCCCTTCACGTCTCTGACGGATGAGGGGAAAAATGACAGAAGAGGAGAGGAAAAATCAGTGAAAAAATACCTCAGAGAACTGTGCCACTTCTTTGAACCCAGACACTCACCAACCAACCGGCCCACCCACCGCCCAGCCCTCCAGCAGTGCTCTCTCCAACAAGCTCCGCTCCCCAGTTCCCTGCCCGTCCACCCATCTCATCCCCGCCCATCCCCATCCATCCCCACCCATCCCCACCCAACCCCACCCATCCCCACCCATCCCCACCCACCGGTGCACAATATTATTGTCATGCAGGTACGCCAGCCCCTCCAGCAGTGCTCTTTCCAACCAGCTCCCCATTCCCCCACCCACCTCATCCCTGCCCATCCCCACCCATCCCCACCCATCCCCACCCATCCCCACCCTCCCCACGCACCGGTGCACAATATTATTGTCATGCAGGTATGCCAGCCCCTCCAGCAGTGCTCTTTCCAACTAGCTCCCCCATTCCCCACCCACCTCATCCCCACCCATCCCCACCCATCCCCACCCATCCCCACCCATCCCCACCCTCCCCACGCACCGGTGCACAATATTATTGTCATGCAGGTACGCCAGCCCCTCCAGCAGTGCTCTTTCCAACCAGCTCCCCATTTCCCCACCCACCTCATCCCCACCCATCCCCACCCATCCCCACCCTACCCACCCACCGGTGCACGATGTTGTTGTCATGCAGGTAAGCCAGCCCCTCCAGCAGCTGGCGAGTGTACTTGGCGATCTGGTGCTCCTCCAAGGGGCCAAAGTCCTCCAGGTACTTGGATAGAGACGTGTCCATGTACTCGAGGAACAGGTACATGCACTTGTCGTCCTGGCGGAGGGGGCAAAGGACATGTGGGAAAAGGTGAGGTGTGTCTATGTACTCGAGAAGCAGGTACATGCACTTGTCACAGGCATGCACTCTTGCAGGCATTAGAAGATGGAGGGGCGAGAGAGTTGGATGGATGGAGCATGCATGTGCGCGAGGAGCTTTCAGTCATACAAAAATAATCAGCAGAGCGCGTTTTCTATCCTGGCAGATACGGGAGGGTCGTTGGAGCTGGCGTATGCGATTTTCAAGCTAGAGATGTTTCCATATTCGTACGCTTTCTTGTCACCTGCACAAATTGCGCTTGCTGTAACCGTGCTTTGTCACTGAGTGCAGATGCACCTTGGAGGGCGGAAATGGGTAATGAAGGTGTATAAAAGTTTCAAAGAGGGAAGATTAATAAGGGAATGTGTAGGGAAGGTGTATTTCTTTACAAATCTTTCCTCCCTTGAAGCTTTTATACACCTTCATTACCCGTTCCACCTACAGGTGCATCTGCACTTTGTGACGAGGCACGGTTACAGCAAGTGCGATTTGTGCAGGTCAAAAGAAAGCGTAAGAGTGTGGAAACATCTTTGGCTTGAAAATTGCATACGCCAGCTCCAACAACCCTTCCGCATCTACCCTGTTGATGCACAGCCCCAACCAATATTCCGTTTTCTCATAGCTCGACCTAGCGGGGGTGGGAGGGAAGAGGGTGGGATGATGAAGGGGGTGGACACTGAGAATGTAATTTGAGTGGGGAAAGTGATACGTAGTGCTCCTCCAGCAGGCCAAAGTCCTCAAGGTACTTAGATAAAGAGGTGTAAATGTACTTGAGGAAGAGGTACATGCATTTGTCATCCTCGCGGTGAGTGGTGGGTGGAGATTAAGGGCAAGGCAGACATATAATTGTGTTTCATTCATTCATCATACAAGAGGAGAACGGAACTCGCATCTGCTTGTGAGTATTTAAAAGCACTTATGCTAACCTGAACTCACACAGTCTCCGAGCCCAAACATCGGACGATGCGCTTTTGATGCTGATTAGAAAAGGAGCATTTAGAGACAAGAAGAAACGGTACAAAGCAAACCAAGAACTCACAGTTTCTGAGCCCAGGTATCGGACAATGCGCTTGTGACGCATTTTCTTCAACGTGTCAATCTCCTGCCATCACGGGGAGGGGAGTGGCGCGGGAGAGAGGAAGCAAACGGGGAAGGGGGACAGAGGGGTGGAAAATTCATTGAGTGAGAATGCAGCATGTGTGCATCCGGGTGCATATGCATGCAATGCAGCACTTGCGCAGTGAGTGGCTGTATGTGACTGTGTGCATGTGTGTCTCTGAACGCCCGGGCACATGTGCGCTCTGCACAAACTTGTGTGCATAGTGTGTAAGAATTGTAGGAAACGTAGGGGGAAATGGGGGTGGACGAGAGAAGAGAGTTGCAGGTGAAAACGGTAAGGGCGGGAGTGGGAGGGCAGGGTGGCGGATTGGGGAGATAACATCAAGAATGGATAAGAATTTGGAAGGTGCAACAGCTGTTGTTTAAGCAAGCGTGCTCAAGGGCCCACACACATGCGCAAACACACATCCACGTGTAAGCACGCGCCCACACCCACTCACCCACCCACATACACCCACTCCCACCCACCCACCCACCCACCCACACACACACACACCCACTTACCACACCCAACCCCATTCTCGCACATATTGCCCAAAACGAATGCACCTGCACGAGCTGAGAGATCGAAGAGTGGTCTGAGATGTTGACCTCCTTGACAGCAAACACTCGTGAAGTGTCACTGCAGGTGCAACGAGGAGGATGAAAGGGAGGGAGAGAGAGAGAGACATAGTTGTTTGCAGTGAGGGAGCAATGGAGGAATGGTCGGAGATGTTGACCTCCTTGACAGCAAACACACGTGAAGTGTCACTGCAGGTGCAACGAGGTGGCAAGGGGGGGAGGGATAAGGATGGTTGTGTGTGATCAAGGAGACGAAAATGTGGCATGCAAGAATGTGAGTGAGGGAGGGAGGGATGGTCAGAGATATTTTTTTCTGAATGCTAGAATGAGAAAGGAGCATGGACAACTGTGAAGAGGAGGTTCTCTGTAGATGCGGGAAGGGACAAAATGGAGATTTGCCTTGACCCAGCAAGAGCACGCCTTGAAAGAGCGAAACCAAGAAACAGAGGAATTGGATTGAACCAAAGGTGCCTCGAAACACTTACATGTCGCTTCTTTTGTACACGGACCCAAATCCTCCCAAGCAAATCACTCTTAGAATATAATATTTTAGACGTCTCAAGAAACACTTACATGTCGCTTCCTTTGTACACGGAACCAAATCCTCCCGACCCGATTCTGCTGCCCTTCTTCCACCGTCCTCTCTGCGGCACCCACGAGTCCCCCTCCTCATGCCCAGCAGCTTCCGCTCCAGCACCTGCTGCTGTGACTATAGAAGAGCCTCCTGGAGGCACGAGCATGGAGCCCTCGTTAGTGGAACCTCCCCTGGAGAGGTTCCCAGGGGTGGACGCCTGGCCTGGGGAGGTTGGGTAGTGGGAAGAGGTTTGGCTGGAGGTTCGGGGGAACGGCGGCGGCTGAAACTGTTGCTGTGGCTGGTATTGCTGCTGCGGCTGCTGTTGCTGGTACTGCTGCTGGTGCTGCTGCTGGTGCCACGGTTGGGAAGAGTCAGGGTTTGAGTTCTGACTGGAGGATTTGGGAAATTGCTGCCAGGGAAGCATTCCTTCTCTGCCCAACTGCTGCTGCACCTGCTGCCCCAACGGCTGCCCTGGCTGCCCAAACGGCGGACCTGTTTGCTGCCCTAACGGCTGCACTAAATTTTGCTGCCCGAATTGCTGCCCGAACCCCGACCCTCCAGGCAGCCCAACAACATCCCTCCCATGCCCGTCATTCATCGAACCGACCCTCGACACCTGGCCAGGAGTAGACGTTTGGCTTGCCGATTTGGGAAACATCGGATTCTGAGAGTTCTGAGAAGGTTCAAACGGCAGCGGCGGCCTGTCTGTGGCGGCTCTTGGGGAGGCGACGGGGGATTTGGTGACAGAGACTGGGAGAGGCTCGAGCTTGGGCACGCCAGGCTTGATCCGCAAGGGAGACGCGGATCGCGTTGAGAGCTTGGAGCTGCTAGCGGGTGGCGTTGCCATACCTCCTGGTGCCGTTGCCATACCTCCTGGTGGCGTCATCATGCCCCCTGGTGACGTCATTCCTCCTGGTCCTGGAGCTATAGGCCCTCCGCCCATTCCTCCGCCCATACCTCCGCCCATTCCTCCGCCCATTCCTCCGCCCATTCCTCCTCCCATTCCTCCGCCCATTGCTCCGCCCATTCCTCCGCCCATTCCTCCTCCCATTCCTCCTCCCATTCCTCCACCCATTCCTCCGCCCATTCCTCCTCCCATTCCTCCACCCATTCCTCCGCCCATTCCTCCTCCCATTCCGCCGCCCATTCCGCCGCCCATTCCTCCCCCCACTCCTCCCCCCACTCCTCCACCCATTCCTCCCCCGACACCTCCGCCCATGTTGCCCCCAATTCCTCCGACCGTGCTTCCTCCCATTCCTCTGCCCACATTTGCGCCCATCCCTGCCCCCACCGCTCCTCCCATCCCTCCTCCGAATCCCCCTCCCATCCCTCCACTCCCTTGCCGATTCAAAGCAGCAGCGTTCCCGGCAGCAGGCGCAGCACCAAAGGGCACCCCTGCTGGCGGGGACTCTCTGTAGCGGCCAGACGGCGAAGTGCCTGCTGACACGGCCGCTACAGGTGCTACAGCTGCTACAGATGCTACAGGTGCTACAGCCGCTACGGCTCCTTCCATAGGAGAGGGCGCGGGAATCCGCGGGCTGTGCCCCTGGGATCCGCCGCCAAATCCAGCAACGGGCGCTCCAGACATAGACACGGACCTCCCATGCGCGAGAGGACTAACACCCCCACTTCCCCCACCACCGCCAAACCCACCGTCACCACCACCATACCCGCCAGCACCACCGGTGCCACCAGCACCCGCAGCAGCACCGCCCACGCCCCCTGCTGCTCCTCGGCCGACGAGGATTGACGGAGGAGCCTCGTGCGACGGCGGATGGTTCACGGAAACAGCTTCGAGGTCCCGGGAAGGGGTGGAATGAACAGGGAAGAGCGCGCGGACTGGCGGATTCGACGCAGTGGGTTCATTGCCGTACGGCCCTGGCGCTGCAGCTACGCCTGACCCTACACCTGACCCTACACCTGAACCAACACCTGGGCCTACACCTGGCGCTGGCGCTTCCATTCTCCCGGACATTGGCCCTGAGCCCAGCGCGCCTACTTGTCTGGCGGGAGGGAGGGGAAGGGGGTTGGAGGCTTGAAGCCGTCTGTCTGGCGACATGGTGTGCGGATGGGAAGACCTGTGCTCCAACGGCTGTTTTGCAGGGGAAGAACCATACGGCCCTGCTCCTCCTAATCCTCCTGCTCCTCCTCTCCCTGCAACAGCTCCCATGGACGATGGTTCAGGCGGCGTGGAGGGGCCGCTACGCGGAGAAGACGCCCCAGACGGCACGGTAGGGGGCGCGACCGGCAGCGGCTGCAGGTTCCCCAGGTTCCCCCTCCCCCCCACCGCGCCTGTCGCGCTCGCCGCTGCTGCTTTGCCCACCTCCGGCGGGAAGGACTTGGAAGCCTGCAGCGATGCAAGACTGGGGTCCGGGCCTGCATGCAACGCCTTCAGCTCCTGCTCCGTGTCGGTCTTAAGATCATCCGCGAAAACCCACGGGTTGGAGGAGTCACTCCCCCCCCGACCTCCGCCCGACATAGAATCCGGCCGCCTCCGCCTCTCCCCGTCCTCCGCACCCGCGCTGCTCTTCCCTGCGCCGACGTCTCCGCTTGCTGTCCGATTAATGCTACGCGCGGAGCTTCGTACAGGCGCGTTGAAACCCAGATCTGCCCGGGTTCGTGCCGGGTCCATCCTTGGTCGGTCGTCTTCATAAGGCAGAGAGACCCATTCGCCCTCGTGAGATGATTTGCCAGCCGCGACTTTCCAGTAGACTCTGCCTTGGCCCTCGAAGCGGTACCAGACCTTGTGCCGGTCGTCCCATAGGCAGTAGCGGTTGCTGATCTTCCGCGCGTCCCCGTACGGATCTCTGGGCGGAGAGAGGGAGAGCCGCGAGGAGGCACCGCTACTGCCGGAGAGGGAGGGGTTGTTGCTGCTGTCGCTGGTGCTGTTCCAGGTGCTGTCGCTGATGCTGTTCCTGGTGCTGTTGCTGGTGCTGTTGCTGGCGCTGCTACCACTGGAAGGGCGCGAGCTACCGCCTGAAATTCCATAATCTTCATGTGGTTCTGACGCAGAGCCTGCTCCCCTCGGCCTAGCAGCTTGCGGCGACGCATCCTCACTCGCTCCGTCTGTATACCGGGAATGAGCAGAGCTTATAACGGGGATACGACTGTTGCTGCTCTCCGGCGATCTGCTTTCCTTCTTCTTGCCTGCGGCTGCTCCTCCCGAGGCTCCAGCAGTCCCGCGAGCAGGACTACCCCCACCAGTGCTGCTGCTACCACCAGCAACTTTAGACCGCTGAAAAATGGAGAGGAGAGATCGGCTGGGTTTGCTGCTTTCAGAGTCGGAAAAGGCTGAATCGGATGGGAGTGGGTGGGAGGTGGTTGGTTGTGGGTGATAAGTGTTCGGCTGCGGTTGAGTGGTAGTTGGCTGCAATTGCGGGGTTGTTGATGCAGAACCAATGCTTTCCCACCTCTTCCCCGCGCATTTCGTCAGCACGGGCTTGACATCCATGGCGGTAGCGCTGTGCTTCCGGCACTGTTAACTCCTGGTACTGGCCAGCACTCAGTGGTACCGACCAGCATATCCGTGGTACCGACCAGCACCGCCGTGGTACCGACCGGCACCGCTAACTCGTCGAACCGACCAGCACTGTTGGCGATGATCCTAGTTGCTGTCAGCTTCGAGCGAGGAGGTGATTATATCATGGAGGAGGCCAATCTCGACGGGGAAGAGCATTGGTGACATGATGACATTCTGCAGGAGCAGAGACAGAATCAGGACAGCTGTTAAAGAGAATTATCCTCGTATTCTAAAAAGACAGCAAACGGAGATGTGAACAGGACAGCGTTGGCTGGTTTGCGACGCGAGTGCAAACATAGGGAGATTAACGGCTACAAACATGGGATTGTGCAGCACGACACCTACTAATAAATAAACCCTTCAATTTCATACTACCTAAGCTAACAACGACTGCTCCTACGTCACCCAGGTCAATTTTAAGAACAACGACGCGAGGTCTTAGATCCTAACAACACTAGACTGGCTGTGCGTGTCGCGGCTCTCGGGGGACTGCCTGAGTCTAGGAATCGCTGAGGCAGGCTCTATCTTGAGGCTTCAGGCTGAACGGCCTTGAGATTATCTGACCTAGGGTTTGTCGACATCCGAATTGCGTGTTTCGGGGGTGTACTCGCTACATGCGCGTGTGGTTCGCATTTGAGCGACTGGACTCATAAACGAGAAGGCCACACTCATGTCACATTCATTATGAATACATTCACCACCTCCCTTTACATCTGGTTAGAAAATCACCTTATATTATAGCAATTTAATTGTCAATTAGTATACAAATGACATCACTAATAAGGGGAGTAAAATCCTAGAGCATCATTCATGGTTAACACAATAATAGGCATAAAAGACGACAAGTTTCCGACTCTAATTACAATTAACATTGTAAAGGATGAAACACCAGCTAATATGGATAAATTTGCGTGCAAAAAGATCTTTAATTCTCATGGCAGAACACCATGACTGACTCCCTACTTAATAATGTTACGTCTGTCAAAGACTAGATGTTACGTCTGTCAAATGGGGATATATCATATCCCACACCACACCCTCTATGGTGTAACTAAACCTAGCCTACGAAGTACACATGACAAATAGATAGGTGTACGTCGACTTACCCCCTAGGCTAGGGAGAAGGTAGTGACGAGAAAACGAGAAACAACTTAGGGCGGCACTCCTTGTTCAACCTCTAATACAAGGGCCACACAATGCTAACGAAAATCACGGTATTTTCCAAAAAATGCTCCACGATTCAGGATTTGTTGTGTGTGTGTGTGCGTGTGCGTGTGCGTGTGTGTATGTGTGTGTGTAGGTGAGTTTGGGTGATTTGTTTGATGTAGTATTTATTTACAATGAAAAGTATTTCAGTACCGTCAAACACCACTCTGGAATCTAGACCAACCGCGTGTGGAGGGTGGTCAAGGAAGGTGCAACAAAGCGTATGACTGATAGGCCAACGCAAGCAACAGATTCTCCCCCCCCTCCTCATCCCCAGCTCCCCCGCTCCACAACTTCTGTTTTCCCTTTTCACCCATTTGAAACTTCTTAATTTCTTCTCGATCCCTCTTAACCGTTCAGGCATGTGTTTTGTGTGGTCTTGTTTTGAAGCACATCCTTCTGTTAGGGCTGATACGGTTATGTTCTCTGTGTGACTAGTTTGTGACCTTGGCCTGCTGCAAACTTGGTTCTGTGTTGTGCTTGCTTCAATACCTCCTCAAGCTCATCCCGAGCGTCTGCGTCGAATCCCGCTTGCGGAGAAGATTTCTTATCTAGGCCCGTCGCTGCCAATCCTGTCGCGTCCCGGGACGGTAACGAGGCTGGTTGGTTGAAGCGTCGAGGCCAGAGGAGGATTGCACTACTATTAATATTCTTCTGAAAGTTTAGTTTGAGAGTTTGCTCGTAGTTTCTCGTTCAGTCATATAATTTCCTTTTTTAGTTAAAAAAAACCCAGCAATCATGTTTGGCAAGATTTTCGGGAAACCGAAGGAGCAGCCGACAGTTCGTGCGTCTCTTGACAAGTTGTCAGAGGTACGCATTACCGTCTTAGCATTCCACGCACCGTAGTTTTCCTGCTAGAAATTACGATTATGTATCTTCTCGTTTGTCTCTGGGTGAATGACGTTACGAACACCTTTTCTCGGGTGACCTTTTTGGTCCCCGTTTTGATTTCTAGCGTCGATTACTTCCTTCCTGTTAACCCCTCATGCGAACTCCCCGGCCGTCGGCGTCGTCGCGTGTGCATCGTAGTGCTGGCTGGTACTGCGGAAGGAGGGAATTGATTCGTTTATGCATCCGTTATGCCTGATTGCTTTTGAAACGCATGCATGCAGACGCGTGAAATGCTGGAGAAGAAACTCAAGGTCCTCGAGAAGAGAGTTGCCTTGGAGTTGCAAAAGGCCCAGGAGTTCTCGAAACAGAAGAACAAGCGAGGTGGGTGGTGGAGAAGGAGGAGAAGACGCGATGAATTACTCGCTTTGCTCTGCTAAAAAGTATTTGGAAGCGAAGTTGTTCGAGGCTGGAGATACGGTTTCAGCGGTTAGATTCTCAAGCGAAGCGAACCTAATGGCAGTCGAAACGCGTGGACGGGATGGGGCAAAGGCGTTTTATCGTTGTATGAGTTTTTTTTCCGTTCAGACGAGCAGCCGTATTTTAATTTGACTCAGCGTCTTCGGTTTTCTTCCTGATTCCTCCTCAGGTGCGAGAATGGTTGTCATTTCATTCCATTGATCATTTAAATATTTACTTCCTGTTCATTTCCACTGTATGATGCTCCATCCACCCATCTCCTCCTCCCCTCACTGCTCCAGCCCCCATCCAGTTCTGAAGAAGAAATAGAATGTTAAAGCCGCTTCATGAGATGGGTTTTCCACCCGTATTCCCGCCCTCTTAATTCCACCTCACCCACCTCTTCCTCGCACCATTGCAGCCGCCATCCAGTGCTTGAAGAAGAAGAAGCTGTATGAGAATCAAATCGATGCACTCAACAACTATATCTTCCGCCTGCAAGACCAGGTGCGTGCTGACTGCTGGGAAGCGAGAGAAGGTTATGAATTGGAACTGAATGGAGGAGATGAAAGTGAGAGAGAGAGTGTGACGGTGGAGATGATGAGTGCAATGAAAGAGGCTGCCCAGGCCATTCAAGGGGCTCATCTCGTGCTGCTTGTGTAACTTTGATTTTTTTTTTTTCCCAAGATTTTCCTGAATGCTCATGAATGCTCCTCCTGGATGCTCTTCAAATGCAGGAGGTGAATCTGGAGGGCGCGAGTGTGACGGTGGAGATGATGAGTGCAATGGAGGAGTCCGCGCAGGCCATCCAAGCGGCCCGTCTCATGTTGCTTGTGTGGCCCTGACTTCCTGAAAATTCCCTGAATGCTTCTGAATGCTTTTCCCCTGCTGAATGCTCTCTGTTCTCTGAGTGCAGGAGGTGAATCTGGAAGGAGCGAGTGTGACGGTGGAGATGATGAGTGCTGTGATGGAGTCCGCGCAGGCCATTGTGACTCTGAATCTTCCCTGAATCTTCTCTGAATGCTCCTGAATGCTTCTCCCAACTCTGAGTGCAGGAGGTGAATCTGGAGGGCGCGAGTGTGACAGTGGAGATGATGAGTGCAATGAAGGAGTCGGCACAGGCCATTCAAGGCGTGCAGAAGAAGATGTGAGTTTCATTCTCTAGTTTCACTGCATGTGCACAAACCTTAAAAAAAAGTCCTAGAATGAGCCTCGTCGCTACTCGTGTCTCGTCTCCAAAAGAGAATCCCGTCTCTCCTTTGAGACCCCGTCTCAGAGCTTCGTCTCACAATAAGCGTCGTCTCAAATTGAGCCGGTGCTACCCTTGCACAAGTAGATGTCAGTTCCACTCATGGTTGCTTCTGCACAGGCCAAGAGGTGCTTGGAGTTCATGCGTTACGTTAATATGTCTGTATGTTTGTGTCGTCACAGGAACATTGACAATGTGGACAAGACATTGGATCAGA